ATTAGCAGCCAAGCTCTTAAGCACTACACCACCAGAGCTCCTAGGAAACCCTATGAAGCAGTTCTACTCGTCATATAGGGTAGCTATGAGTTGGAATCCACTCAACGACACACAACTATATGTGTGTGTGTATATGTATATATGTGTGTGTGTGTATTTCTATGTTTGTGTATGTATGTATGTATATAGTCCCTAGGTGGCAAACGGTTAATTCAGTCATCTGCTAACAGAAAGGGCCTGCTGGTAATCTACTTCTGAAAAATCAACCACTGAAATCCCTATGGAGCACAGTTCTACTCTGTCACACACGAGGTCACCATGAATCAGAGTTGAATCCATGGCAACTGACTGTGGTCTACATCTCCACGTATCAAAGTTATCTGAGAGAAAACTTAACAGCACACTCGTATTAGATGACCTTAAAAATGATGTTTGAAGAAACATGGATGACTTGAGAAAACAAATGAACCTGTCAAAAAAATAAAAAGAACACAAAAATACATATTTGGCATTGTCTTATATCTATTTATAGAGAGAAAGCGATAAAAGACCAGAAAATGTCTGCCAAAATATTAACAAATGGTTATCATAGGATGGGATCATGGGTGACTATTTTCATTTGTACATTCCGATTTTTTTTTTTTTTTTTACAGTGAACATTGTTCTTTATTGGTCTTTTTCCAGTTATAACAGTATCTGGCAGCCATTTCCTAGGGTTTGTTTTTTTTTTTTTTTTTAATAACTTAACCTATTTATTCTTACTGAAGACATTTCCATAGAAAGTCTATTGAAATGTGACTAGAACTGTATTAGAGCAAAATACTAATTTGGGAGGGATGACCAGCAATATTTGGTATTTCTACCCTGCAACATGGTATAGCTCTATCATGTGTTAGTTTCTCTCCCAAAGACTGATAATTTTTAATACATTTCTTATTCCTAATTATTTCATATTTCTGAACTTTTTTATGAATCGAATCTAATTTGGATAGATTCTAAATGGTTATTGCTTCTGACATTTTATCTTGTATCTAACCCCATTAGTGATAGCAATAATTATAAAATATGAATTTCTATAACCATTTAGCAATTTTCTTTCTGTTCAATGTTTTTTAGGTCATGTACATTTCATGTCTTACTGTTTTGTGCAGAACTTCCAAAACATAAGAGTGATGAAGAACGCATCATTGTTTTTTAAAAAAACAGTGCTTCTAGTATCACTTGAGGCATACTTCTGGCTTCCGGTCTAACATTGATCCCTACTGCACGTAAGTCAAGATAAACTCCAGATGGCTGAAATCCTTAATATAAACACAGAGAGACTAGAAGTACACAAAATAGAATATTTATCAAAAGGTTTGCTATAAATAAATCCAAATCTTCTGATATTGGGGTAGGGGGAGGAGAGAGACAATTTGAAGAAAATATTTGCAGCAAATATGACAAGGGTTGAGAACTTATAAAAATAAATAAAAAGAACATTACAACCAAGGCAGAATGTACAGACAAATGACATGAACAGAAAGTACCCAAGAGCAAACTTTCTAAGCAAACTAGTAAAGGAACATGAAAAAATCCTCCACTTTTCTCCTAATCAAAGAAATAAAATGCCATTTTTTTTGTTTGACAAATCAATAAAAAGAGAAGAATATCCAATTCCCAGGAAGATACACATCATTCTGAAACTTGACATAATTTTTTGGAAAGATATTTATCAATATGAGTATTAAAAATGACTATATCCAATAAAGATGATACAAAAAGTAAAAATAATACTTAAAATTGGGGTGGTGATTACACATACAGGTATATATATTTTCAAACCTCATCAAATTCTGCAATTAAAATGGGATCATTTTACTGTTTATACCTTAATCAAGTTGATATAATAAATAAAAAGAAAATAATAAAGTAGTCATACATTTTTGCTTTGACCATGTAATTCTATTTCTAGGAATTAAGCTTATGAAAATACTTAGTGCTGAGGACAATGATCTAAATATGAGGATACTGAATGCAGTGTGGGAACTGGAAAATTGTACAGTATGTAAATGTCACCATAACGAATCAGTTAATTCTGATAATTTAGTGAAGTATTATACAAATATTAAGTGTTATAGGGTATTTTTAATGACCAAGAAAAAGTCTCAAGGTACTACTTAAATGAAAAAGGCAGAACAAAACCTAGAATTTCCAATGGTTTGCATATGCTTTTAACATCAATATGTTTACAATGGTTATCTCTAGGGGATGGAATCACAGGTCTTTTTCTCACATTTCGTACTTTCCGACTCTTAGAATACACTTATTTAATTACATCATTGGGAAAGCCAAGCACTACAGACAATAACGTGGACAGGATATCGTTTATGTATTTATTCATTTGCTGTTAAAACAAATTGTGGTCCTAGGTGACTCAGGAAGAGAGAACACAGAAAACCCATCTCTTAACTTACTCTGGGATGCTGGCCGCTTCTCAGTTTCCTTCCTTCCTTTGTCTGAAGCTAACTATCTTAAAGACCCGACTCCTTAATACGGCCTATAAGACCTTATACGACCTGGTCCCCATAGCCTTTCATGAATTCACATCCCCCATCCTCCCTAAGAGGTTCTTAGCTGACCCCTCGTCCTCTAAAACTCAACTCACTGGCCCTCCAGCTATAACCAGTTGCCGTTGAGTCGATTCCAACTCATAGCGACCTTATAGGACGAGTAGAACTGCCCCACAGGGTTTCCAAGGAGCCATTGTTGGATTTGAACTGCCGACCTTTCGGTTAGCAGCCGAGTTCTTAACCACTGTGACACCAGGGCTCCCCTCTGGCCATAGCGCCACGTATTTTTCCTTTCCAGCATTGTTACCGTGTGCCTGTGTGATTATTTAATTATTCATCTCTCACTTGAGGAGCCCTGGTGGCACAGCAGTTAAGGACTCGGCTGCTAACCAAAAGGTTGGAAGTTCAAACCCACCAGCCACTCTGCAGAAGAAAGATGTGGCAGTCTGCTTCCGTAAGGATTTACAGCCTGGGAAAACCTATGGGGCACTTCTACTCCGCCCTATAGGGTCACTATAATAAGTCGGAATGGACTCTAAGGCAATGGGTTTTGGGTGTGGTTTCTCTCCCACTACATCGTTGATTCCTGGAGAGCAGCCCCAGGACCTGGTTTTTACTTATCACTCATCATATATGCCATGGTCCTGGCACAGTGTCTGGACACCCAGTAAATATTTACTGAATGAAATTAATGTTTCTTCATCTGTAAAATACTAAGAACCCACCTAGATTTCAATAGGAAAGGTTTTCGAAAGTCTGGATTCTGGAATTCTCCAGGGCTGGCTACCTAAAGCCTCAGGAAACCCCAGATCAGGTAACCCTCATTAACATGTTAACTACTCAATTACACTTAATTCCCCAAGGTTCTCGGGGAGCTCCCAGGCCTCAGGGACTTGAGAGCAGAAGATAGGAAACCCTGATGGGTCACCAACGGTATTAATCGGGAACATTTTTTTGAAGCTACTCCGGCCCCTCCCATTGCTGCAGTAACTGGATGGGAATGCATCTAGCAAGAGAAAAGCTATACGAGGGATACCTTCCTCCCTCCTCCAGGTTTCTGCAGGTGAGAAAGTATATTAATAGTGACAATAACAAACACTTCCTGTGGGCCAGGCACTGTTCTAAATGCTATACATATACAACTCATTCAATCTTGACAACAACGCTTAATAAGGTAGGTACCATTATGATCCCATTTTGCAGATGAGGAAGTTGAGGCCTGGCCAAGTTTAGTAACTTGCTCAAGATCACAAAGATAAGTAGGGCTCTAGGATTCCAACTATAACCACTATACACACTGTCTCTCCTACTAAAAAAAAGAAGTTATCCAAAAGAGACATTAATGACATTCACTTGATCCACTGACTGCTCAGAACAGTGCTTCACTAAAGACATAGGAGAGAGGAAGGTGGGGGTTGACCTCCTTCTGGGTCACAAGGGTTTTTTTCTCAGGCTGAAACTCAAGAGCCCTAATGCTTGTGGAATGAACACTGACAGGTTCCCCCTTCCCCCAAAGAGCAACAATCACTGGTCTGTGGGGATCTTCCGCTCTCTGCCCAGGCTGTGGTTTCTCAGCAGGAAGCCAGCCATGTGCATCCATTATCAGGAACTCTACTCCAAACGGACCCAAACACTGTGCTGTTACCCTGGGTGATGTGGTACAATTCACAAAGCCTCCTCCCTGCAGCATCCCCAGTAGGTAGACGTGGTCCTGGCGTCACTGGATGCAATCCCCTGCCAACACATACTAGGGCATCAGGCCAAAGGATGTCATCTCCAGAATGGCGCACCACTGCCTCTCCTGGGCACTCAACACAGTGCCTGGCCCACAGTGGTTTCTCGGCTTCCACTGGGCTTAGAATAAAATCCGAACTCCTAACCCTCGCCTCCAAGACCGTACTTGCTCCGGCCAACCTCATCTCCCTCCTGTATCCTCGTTAGCTCTAGCGACACTAGTTTTCTTTCCTGCTTCTAGTACTCAGCTTTCCTGACCTTTGCTGTTCCCTCTCCTGGACGACTCCTTGATCTTGGCCTGGCTGCGTCCTTCTCATTACTAGGGTCTCAACTCACCTACTTCCTCCGAGGCCTTCCATGTCCGAGTCCCCGCTCCCCACCCCTCCAGACTGGAAGCTCTATCACTAGCATTACAACACTGTCTGGCCCATAGGCCTTCGACACTTCAACAAATGTATCTGCTGAATAAACTCAGATGCCCCTCTCCGACCTCCCCACCCTGCCGCCGCTCAAAATACCTTGGAGAAATTAATTCATAAAGAAAATATATGCAACCGATAAAACATCAAACTAATTCAAAACGAAGGCGATAAGCGAGGCTGAGCTGGTCAATGCCATCTGAACAAGGCCCCCAAAAAACCCTTTCCTGAACGTGTACTTTTCAAAAAGCGAAACCAGAAGGGCCGAAATGGGGCTTGGCAGTGCGCTGCCTACCTTGAACTCGGCGGAAAGTTGGGGCGTGTATTCGCGCGTCCAGAGCGCGCGCACTAGCGCCGCCAGCTGCTCGGTGACCTCGGATCGGCCCGGCCCTGCCCGGTAGCGTCCCAGCGCCAGAAACTCCGCCAGCAGGTCGGTGTTGCTGAGGCACTGCACCACGGCGTTCATGAAACAGGTGTTGCCGTGGTTCTTCAGTCCCTGCGCGCCTGGGGGCCGCGCCCCGTCGCCAGCGGGCAGCTGGGGTTGGGGTCTGGGCTGGCGCTCCTCGCCGGGGCTCCCGGGCGCCGATCGAGCCAGGACTGGGGCGTGGGCAAAGCCCCCTTCGCCTTCGCCATTGCAGGATCCGGGCCGGGGCCGTGGCGGCGAGTCCCCGGGGCGGGCGCGGCTGCCCAGAGCCAGCAGGAAGCGGTTGAGCAGGCGGCGCAGGGAGCTGCGGCGGCGGGGCCGGGGCGCAGGCGGCCCCTCTGCGGTCACATCCCCCGGGCCAGCCAGTTCCGCTCCCGGGCCCGGGTCCATGGCTCCCGCTGGCGCGGCTTCCCGCGCGGAGCCCCCAAGCCCGAAGCGGACGGGCGGCTAACAGGCTCTTACAGTCTCGGATAGGCTCCCGGGCGCCGGCTACCTGCGGGCCAGGTGTGCCGGAGCGGGCGGGGGTGGAGCTAAGGGAGGGGCCGCCCCGCCCCGCGGGGGAATCCGACAGCGAGGCCAGCCCCGGGCTGTGCCCGGCAACCCCACTGCGAGTCGCTGCTGTCGAGGTCCCAACCCTTCCGCACCTCTCAGAAGGCAACGAACCTGGATTTAACCTCTGCCTCAGTTTCTCCACCATGAACCAAAAAAAAAAAAAAAAAACCAAACCTGTTGCGGTGGAGTCGATTCTGACTCACTGAGACCCTATAGGGCAGAGTACAACTGTTCCACAGGGTTTCCAAGGAGCGGTTGGTGGAATCGAACTGCCAACCTTTTTGTTAGCAGCCAGCTCTTACCACTGCGCACCCATGGCTCCTCCCCACCGCTGGAGAATGATCAACTTGAAAGCGCCTAGTAAATCGCAAAGCCCGGCCTATTTGTAGGCTTCTTGAAATTACGTGCAGGTGAACATGAAGAAAAGCAGAAGAGAAGGTTGCCTTAAAAGTGCAGCCTCAGGAATAGTGAGAGAGGCGCGCCTGAGCTGTGAAGGGTGGGGAACGTTTTTGTGCACTGCTGGTTCCTCCGCAGACTCAAGTGTGTGCGGGCAGGCTGCCCCTTGGAAGAGGGAGAGCCTTCGCTCTGCCGCGCCCTCCTAGGATCACACCTGGGAACCGCATCTTGCCCAGTGAAGAAACACCCGGGTGGTTGTGGTTTGTTTTGAAAGTACAGACTAGATTAGAGTCATTGTTCCAAAAACTTGCAAGTGAGACTTGATCGTCCTCGTTTTAATGGGTGGAGAAACGGGCTCAGAGAAGTTTAACGCACCCGGTGGGGAGCTCAGCGCCTGGTTGAGCAGGAAAGCAGAACTCGAGTCCCATACTTCGAACCGCCCAGCCCGGGCCCTTCCCACAACCTTAGTATTTGCTTACCAGGAAGTTTTCCGGCTCTCAGGCGCGCCCCCTACACGCTCTTCGGTTCACTCCTTAACACAAGATCCTTGCTGAGTCGTCACCCAATCAGAATGAGTTTGGCCTTGCCCCGCCCTTGATTCCCTGGGTAACGCTGGGGCCTCTGCTCACATCATCCTCTGTCAGGTTTATAATTAATCAAGCAAGGTCTTGCAAAATGAATTTCTCATCACTTTTTCGCTTAACAAGAGATCGGCAGGATGCATATTACACCAATGCCCTGAAATGTTACTTGTTATTTAATAAGTGATCATCATTTATTAAATATCCTTCTTGGTGTTTCCAGTTTCAAATAGGATAGCAGCAGTTTTCTTGACGCTAAAAAGAAGCACTAGTTAAAGGATAAAGAATATTCTTAGAAGAAAAGACTGTGAGTGGAGTCCTGAAGTGTTTCTGGAAAATGCCTTCATTTACCCTATCTGCAAAAAGGTTATCAGTTTAGATGAGTAATATGCAAGGTCCCTTCCCTCACCCTTCTGGTAGTAAGCACAGATTTTATGACATGCCCATCCCCGATAAAGCATCTCTGAAATTTCATCTTTGGTAGTCACTCCAAGATTCCTGTCATAGATTAAATCGTGTCCTACAAAAATTATGTGCCACCTTGGCTAGGCCATGATTCCCCATATTGTGTGGTTGTCCTTCATTTTGTAATCTGATGGAATTGTCCTCTGTGTTGTAAATCCTAATCTCTGCCTGTGGTTAGTGAGGCAAGATTAGGTTATGTTAAAGAGGATTAGGGTGGGATGCAACACCCTTACTCAGGTAGCAGCGCTGATCTGATATAAGGGGAGTTTCCCTGCAGTGTGGCCAGCATCACTTTTTATCTTACAGGAGAGAAAAGTGAGCAGTGAGTTGGGGACCTCATGGCACTAAGAAAGAAGTGTTTGGAGCAGGATGTGTCCTTTGGACCTGAGGTCTCTGTGCTGAGAAGCTCCTAGACCAGGGGAAGATTGATGACAAGAACTTCCCCTAGAACTGACAGAGAAAGCATTCCCCTGGAGCTGATGCCCTGAATTCAGACTTCTAGGCTCCTAGACTGTAAGAAAATAAATTTGTTAAAGCCATCCACTTGTGGTATTTCTGTTATAGCAGCACTAGATAACTAAGACACTAACAAACACATTTTCTTTGACAGCGCAACATAATTCACGTTTAACTCTCTACTCTGTGCCAGGAATTCTACGGATGCTTTAGTACATTACTGTTGTTACTGTTATTGTTAGTTACCACTGAGTTGGCTCCTGACTCACAGTGACCTTATGTATAACAGAATGAAACATTGCCCAGTCCTGCACAATCTTGTGATCACTGGCGTCCTCGAGTCCATTGTTTTAGCCATGTGTCAATCCATCTCATTGAGAGTTTCCCTCACCTTCATTTACCCTCCACTTTACCAAACATGATGCCCTTCTCCAGTGATCGATCCCTCCTGATGACATGTCCAAAGTAACTGAGTTGAAGTCTCAGACAATACTCTGTGATCCACAGGGTTTTCATTGGCTAATTTTTCAAAGTAGATCTCCAGGCCTTTCTTCCTATATCTTAGTCTGGGAGCTCTGCTGAAACCTGTCCACCAAGGGCGTGCAAACTGGTATTTGAAATACTGGTGGCGTAGCTTCCAGCAGTACAGTGACATCACAGTATGACAAACTGACAGACAAGCGGTGGCTTTAATACATCACTGAATTCTCACAATAACATTTTGAGCAAGAATTTATTCTCACCTTACAAAAGAGGAACTGAGGCTCAGAGTTAAGAAACCTATCCAAGATGTGGATTCACACCCAAGTCTTGCCCCAGGCAGCTTGACTAGTGAAGTGATGATTAAGCATGTAAATTCACCTTGCCTTAATTTTAGTGGATAATAGCAATGCTCTCTGGAGACAAATTACGAGGAAGGGCTGTGGCTTTTGCAATCATAGAAAAGAGATTATGTGACAGGAAACAAATAAGTAGAATTTATTCACAATAAAAAAAAGTTTTAATTACAGTCTGGAGAAATTGTTCTTGAGCACATTTCAATTTTAATATAAAATTTAAGACTGTAAAATGCATTCTACGAAGGAGAAAATTATACAGAAAATAGTTTGGCTAAAGAACGAAAACACTGGGGTGAGAAATCTAGACCAATCTTGGAGTTACCTAAGCTCAGTCTTCAACATAACTGTGTGGGGCGTGGCTCCAGGTGGTCCAAGTGGCTTCACAAGGTATAGGGGTACTTCCATCTCAGGATGGCCCCATCGGCACTTACGCTGACAATGTACTGATTGCCTGGGCTTATCCGGACGCGCGTGATGTTGCCGCTGTGTCCCACCCCAACGTGAGTCACTTCTCCCTCATTATAATCCCAAACTTTCACCAGATGGTCATTTCCACCTGAAAAAGACAGTTACATGACAATGGGACAGAGAGAAACAGCCCTGATTTCAAATAACTGGATTGTTGTCTAAACATTCCTCGTGTGTCAAGTTAAAGAAAGAAAAATTGATGTTTACACTAACACTTTCCCGATTATAAAAATCTATGCCTGTTGTAGTAAATTTGGGGGAAACAATACAAAGGGGTGAAATCACCTTTAATCCCACCACCCAGAAAAACTTCTAATAACATCTAGGTTTAGTTCTTTCTGGTCTTTTTTTTTCCTAAGTGTTGTTGTATGCTGTTGAGTCGATGGCAACTCATATCAACCCTATATGACAGAGTAGAACTACCCCATAGGGTTTCCTAGGTTGTAATCTTTACTAGAGCAGATTGCCAGGACTTTTCTCCCTCGTAGCCTGGTGAGTTCGAACTGTCGACCTTGTGGTTTCAGCTGAGCATTTAACCATTGTGCCACCAGGGCTTCTTTCTACAAGTGTACAGGTATGCGTATATTCCTGTATATCTAATTGGAACGACACTGTGTCTAGTTTTATATCTTGCTTTAAGTTAATATGTTTGTGAAGCTTTAATTCATTTGGAGCATTTATTTGTTAATATATTGAAAGATCAAAGAACTTGGCAAGAAACAATGTTGATATTGTTCCAATAGGCATGTTTTGTGATAAATGCCCCCTTAAAATGCTGATATATTCATTTATTTTGGTGGAGGGCATCATGTCATTCCATAATAAAGGTGAATAAAAAGGCTCACATTTAAGACTTCAGTAGGAAATAAAAGAAGGCATCTCGATGGACCAGTTCCATTTTTAGCATCAATGACCACCAAAAAAAGCAATGTAAGGCTTATCTTTTTGTGTGTCCCTAAGGTTCCTGTGCAAACATTTCCTCTCATTGAAAGGTAACTTCTGGATTTTTCTTTTCCAGCCACGTTGACTGCAGTGTTCAAGCCTGAATCTAACCAGGTTGCCCTTTAGACCCTTTTGTGGCCTCTTAAAATTGCCTCCCACATGGGATACCATGTTCCCATTTAAATAAGCCGAGCGTGGCGTTCTTTTCTTATCCCAGGACTAACCTGTAACAAAATGCACTCCTTCCACTGTGATATCCATACCATTTATTGATCCAGACAAGGAACCTTCCAACTCTCTGATGACGGACCCATCAAATACTTCCCAGTAAGCAATCTGGAATTCAGAAGCATTAGGCAGGATTCAGCTCAGTGGGATCATCCATGCACAGACTCCCAAAAGATGACTCTACTTTATATAGAAGGGAGTAAAAATACACTGAGGGGTGAGATGGGCTGAAATTATAAATAGGCGAAAGCAGAAGGAGGAGAAGCCATTTCACTATTTTCATATTTGTTTAATATTTTGCATTCTATTTCAAGAGATGTTGATATGTTGATAAACCTGGATTGTGGCAGAAAGTGCTTTTGATAAGACTAAGCAGACTGAGTCTGAAGCAAGCGGTAAAAGAAAGAAGAAAACAGCCAATGCATACACAGTTCCAGCTTTTGTTCTGAAACAGAGCCAAGCTTCAGGGGTGGTGGGAGGACAAAGCATTTCCTTCCTTCTAACTGGGGAATGAGTGGTCTGGAGAGTTTCAGGAGACAGGGCCTTACAAAGTCACCTTACCACTGTGGCTGGATCCTCCCTCTTCCTCCATCACCACCACCGTTGCCGTCGAGACTCTCTGACTCATGGCGACCCCGTGTGTGTCAGAGTAGAACTGTGCTCCACAGAGTTTCCAATGGCTGATTTTTCAGAAGTAGAGTGCCAGGCCTTTCTTCAGAGGCACCTCTGGGCGGACTCAAACTGCCAACCTTTGGGTTAGTAGCCAAGCATGTTCACCATTTACACCACCCAGGAACTCCTCCATCTTCCTCACCCCGCCCTTATTTCAACTTTTTCCTCTTCCTCAAAGCAATAAAGCATTCAACAGGGTGGGGTTTAAAGACAGAGTAATAACATTGGACCCCTCCCCAGGAGGGAAACTAGGATAGGGAGGTTGGGAGAAGGGCTGAATGGAAGGAGATCTTTCTCTGAATATACTGTTGTTGAACTTTGAACCTTGTGAATGTACAACCTCTTCAAAGATAAAATTCCTTTCGTTGACCAGGAATCAGGAGTGTGCACTTGGGCACACATTACCCCCACTTCTCTTGGTTTCATGTTGGTGGAAACGTCCTGTGTTCCAGTCCTTATGCTAAGAAACTGTACTCCTCTGAACCTGGCTAGAAATTGTGTATCCCATTTAAAATATTTTTTGCTTTATAATTTATACTCATGCTTAGTTGCTTAATAAAAAGTTCTGTTTTTGTGGTGGAAGCACAAAGAAGTATACAAAAACATGCCAAAATCCATGTTTCTCAGGAGTCACACCCAGAGAAGTAGCTGGTGCTCGACTATCTGCCTTCTGTGGCAAGGAAGTCAAAGCCACGCTTTCCTTGGTATCTATTTCAGGGGCTCAGTCTTTCTCCAGCTTCCTCTGCCTGGGATGCTCTTCCTTTGGATCTATGCATGGCTAGCTAGATCCTCTGTCACTCAGTCCGCAGCTCAAATGTCACCTCCTTAAAGGAGGCTCTCACCATGACCATCCTAGCTAAAGGACCTTCCCTCCACCCAGCTAGTATCATATAACTTGTTCTATTTCCTTTTTGGAGTTCCTGGGTGATACAAACTCTTAAAGCACTTGGCTGCTAACCGAAAGGTTGGAAGTTTGAGTCTACCCAGAGGCACCTCAGAAGAAAGGCCTGGTGATCTCCCGAAAAATCATCCATTGAAAACCCTATGGAGCAGAGTTCTACTCTGACACACATGGAGGAACCATGAGTCCAAGCTGACTCGACAGCAACTGGGATTTCCTCTTTAGCCTTTTCACCATTTCATATCATGTTGTTCATTTATTACTCATTGTTCATTCATTTATTCACTTACATGTGTATTGTCCAAATCCATCCCCTCCCACCCAAAATAAAGAAGTAAATGAATAAAGTAAGCAAGCTTCATGAAGACAGGGATATTATTGTATCCCCAGCACTTAGAATAATGTTAGGTTTACTGATTTATTACAGATTACAGATTGAAATGTTTTGGTGAAAGTTCTAAATTCTAATAAGAAGAGAATAGACTGTTCACGGAGTTCATGTCTCATAAACGGAAACCTAGAATATGGCAAACATCACACTAATTTAGAGGCTTGATGCACCATACATACATCATAGCATTTATACCGACATTGTGATTGACTCTCTAATACCCATTCCACCCCCATTCCAAGCGGGGCCCTGTTGGACCACAGGTCAATCACGGGGTTGAGGGGTGGGCAGGTATAAGTCAGTCTGTGCTGATGAGACACAGAAGACTCACATGGCGGATCTTTAGAGACTAGAAATGCGGCAGACCTCCCTGCCCTCCCACAGCCTTCCATCATCAGTGGAGGGGAAATCCTGGCTTGGTCCAGGCAGCATTTCCTGGGTTTTGATGACATAGTCTCTTTGGACGAGTTCCCCAATCTGGGTTGGCATTGCAATCACCTGAGATGCTTACACAGGAAAAAGTCCCACCCCCAGATTCTAACTGGGTAGTAATGGTAAGAAGGGGAGGAATCTATGTTCAGAAGGTACCTTTTATGCTTTTAAAATCATCAACCTTCTCTATAGCTGATGAGAAGATAAAAATGCAGCCCATTTGTTGTGGATTGAATTACGTCCCTTCCCCCCACCCCCCAAAATACGTGTTGTAAATCCTAACCTCTATGCTGAAGGTTTTAGTGCCATTTGGGAATGGGTTGTCTTTGTTACATTAATGAGGCAAGATTAGTGTAGGGTGTATCTTGAGTCAATCTTTTGAAATATAAAAGAGACTAATAAACAAGCCAGCAGAGCAGAGATGGGGGAAGAGAGATGCCAAGCCACGTGATCGCCCAGGAGCAGAAGCTCAAAGAGACAAAGAACTTCCACCAGAGCCCACAGAGAGAGAAAGCCTTCCCCTAGAGCCGGCACCCTAATTTCGGACTTCTAGCCTCCTAACTGTGAGAAAATAAATTTCTGTTTGTTAAAGCCACCCACTTGTGGTATTTCTGTTATAGCAGCACTAGGTAATTAAGATACTATTCTTCATTTATCTCAAAGTCATTTCATAGTCTAAATTGTTGTTGTCATTAGCTGCCATTGAGTCAACCCATGGTGACCCCCTGCACAACAGAAAGAAACACTGCCCAGTCCTGCACCATCCCATGATTGGTTGCAGATCAGACTGTTATGATCCATAGGGTTTTCATTGGCTGATTTTCAGAAATAGTTCACCAGGCCTTTCTTCTCAGTCTATCTTAGTCTGGAAGCTCTGCTGAAACCTGTTCAGTATCACAGCAACACGCAAGCCTCCACTGACAGAAAGGTGGTGGCTGTGCATGAGGTACATTGGCCAGGAATTGAAATCAGGTCTCCCACATGGAAGGGGAGAATTCTATCATTGAACCACCAATGACCTCATAGTCCGAGTTAAGCAAATCAAAAGTCATTAACTGGATGTGCAGGTAGGCTGAGATCTGGCTGATCTGATACACCTGGAAGGGTGGATGACCTCTTAGCATCCTTACCCCTCTCCTGAAGCTTCTCACTTGGTCCAAGGGGAAACCTTCCCTCAAAGAGAAGGACCAATCTTCATCCAAGGGCACAGACTTCTCAGTTCAAGAGATTTTAATATATTGATGAATTAGAGAGATCAGAGAAGGTGAGAAGGTCTATTGTCTTTCTGTTTGAATTCAATAAAAGTGACAACTGGTTTAGGCACAGCAATTTGGTTTCAGCCTTAGAAATTGTCTGACAATAGAAGCTGATATTTATTGAGTACCTACTATGTGCCAGGCCCCCTGCTACATTATATATGTGTATGTATGGCTTTAATCCACACAGCAACTCTACAAAGTCAGTGGTATACTCATACCCATTTTACAAACGAGGAAGGTAAGGCACTGAAATGGTACATCAACAACAACCACCAAAAAAAAAGTTGCCATTGAGTCAATTCCAATTCATGGAGACCCAGCGTGTGCTCCATAGGGTTTTCAATGGCTGATTTTTTTGGAAGCGGATCACCAAGCCTTTCTTTTGAGGAACCTCTGGCTGCACTTGAACCTCCAACCTTTCAGTTAGCAGCCCATTAACCAGCTGCACCACTCAGGGACTCTAAGAGGGTACACAGCATTTCCAAAGTGACATAGCTGCTCAGCAGCAGAACCGTCCTTTGAACTGGGGTGGCTGGGCGCTCAGCCACAGTGCTTCACTGCTTTGCTTTTGTACAAGAAAGATCTTGAGTCTTGCTAGGAGTACGTACCTTTCTGTCTGTTCCACTGGTGATGATCTGGAACTCTTCAGGGTGATAACAAACACACTGAAATAAGGTATTAGCCAGGATCATCTGGTTCCTCCTAAGACGCCTGAAAAATAGATTCAAAAGCTGTGAAACTTGACTTTCTCTTCCCCAGAAAACTGACTATTCAAACTAGATTTGGTACAAGCTTGGATTGGTTTATCTACCCCAAACAGCAAACACTGCTCCGCACAATGGCGTTTGTATTTTCTCCAAATGGAGTTCTGGTTATTCTGTCTACTCCATTTATGTGACCTGGCATTGCACTTAAGGGTGGCTGTCAGAAGAGAGTGGGCGGGGCCCATTTCTAAAGACAAAGCACAAAACTCAACACAGATTCCCCTAACCCAGACTATGAGGTCATTTGTGGTTCAGTGGTAGAATTCTCCCCTTCCATGGGGGAGACCTGGGTTCAATTCCTGGCCAATGTACCTCATGCATAGCCACTGCTGTCAGTGGAGGCTTGCTTGCTGCTGTGATGCTGAACAGGTTTCAGCAAGGAAGCCCAGGTTCTGACTAGAAGAAGTAGGAGAGGCTGACCTCAGAGCCAACATGCTGTCTCCCACACGAGATTCAGTAGGTTGGGATGAGGCCCGCAGATCTGCATTTTAACCAGCCAGCCTCTCAGTCGATTCTTATGTCCACAGTCATCTGAGAACCATTGCTCTAGTTACTATACCAAGAAATATATAGACGTCGCTTCTCCTTCCATAGACAATACTGCCGGGTGGCCATCTCACAGGCCAGGCTGTACTGGCTAAAAATGCATCTTCTGCACAGTTTCTTCTCAATCTGGAAGAGCTCAAACATCATATCTGAGCTGAGCATTTTAAAAGATTTTGGCACCAATGATTCCTGCTAAACAACAGGGAGGTTTTAAGGATTTGAGATGGTCACAACCAGTCATGAAAATAAGTGTAGACATGCCCTTCTAGTTATATGTTTTTTCCCAGTGGGAAGTTCAAGTGTAGGCTAACACCTTCCTGTAAGTGTGGTCCTTGGCTCAGCACCACAGGCCGCACTTGGGGCTTGTTAGAAATGCACAATCTTATGTGCCACGCCAAACCTACTGAAACAAAATCTACATTTTAACAAGATCCCCACCTACTGAAACAAAATCTACATTTTAACAAGATCCCGGGGTGATTGGTATGCATAGTAAAGTTGGAGGCGTACCAGGCTAGAAGACAGAGGCTTGCTTTTGTTTCTATTTTTTAACATGTTGAATGAAAAGCTCTCTGCCTTTGCCTTTCTTTCCCATTGTCTTGTCTCCCATCAAGAACATTTCAAATTCTTTTGCTGTATGTATCTCCTTCCTTCCAACTCTGTACTTATTCAAGCGTCCTACGCAGTCATACAGCATCAGTGCATCTTAGGAGTGGTACAGGGGTGCAGGGCAGGAGTTGGTGGAATAAGGTCTGATTCTAAAATAAACGCACACACAAAAATGCTTACAGTCAAAAACTCAAAATTTACCCTTGAAAATCCTTTGAATTACTCCTGCAATAAAGTCTATGAGCTTTGGTCTAGTTGGCTTGGATTTAAGCATCCTATAAAAACCATTTGCTGCCAAGTCAATTCCAACTCATGGTGACCCCATGTGTGTCAGAGTAAAATTGTGTTCCATAGGGTTCTCCATGGCTGATTTCTCCCAAGTAGTTTGTCAGGCCTTGCTTCCCAGGCTCCTCTGGGTGGACCTCCGACCTGTCAGTTGTCAGCCAAGCACATTAACCACGTGTACCACCAGGACTCCTAAACACCCTATGGGGGTACCGGTATGCTCACTTTATAAGAGACCCCTGGAAATGTGGCCAACTGAAAAAAAAAAACAAAAAACCTGTTGCCGTAGAGTGTATTGTAACTCATAGTGACCCTATAGGACAGAGTAGAACTGCCCCATAGGGTTTCCAAGGAGCAGCTAGTAGATTTGAACTGCAGACCTTACCCACCACACCAGCGGCCAACTGAAGGGGAGGGTGAATTTATGCCACCACCACTACCCCATCACATGCTCGTTCTGGGCTTGACTTGACGGGGTAAAGGGACAAGAGGAGCTGAGCTGCCTGCATTACTTTAGTTATTTTCCTTGCTTTCTTTTCTTTAGAAAGCTTGACTTGAATTTGTGTAAGTTAAATCATGCTTCACTGTATATATCCAGAAATCTCTTCCCCCTTCATCCAGGAACTTCTAAGATTCAGTTCTCCCTGAAACTATACCCTTTCCACCTGCATCCGTAAACCTTGAACATCAAGGAACAGTAGTAGAGAAGAATGGATTCTGATGAAGATCCCCTTTACTGTAGCCTTGAATGAGATTTCTACTCTTCATTCGAGTCTTCTCTCAAGTTCAATAAGATGCTGCAGTGCTTGGGTTTTGTCCTGTGTAACACTAGATTTTGATACTTAGTAAATGTCACTTCATCCTCCCCATCACGGGAACCTACACAAGATCCCAAATGATGCAAGTCCCATCCGTGCTGGCCGTGACGCACTCCTCGTTATTCTTCTTCACTCTGATGCAGGACACAGACGACTTGTGTTCCTTCAGGGCCTCTTCCAGCTTCTGGGTCTGGCAACCTATCTGCCACACCCTCACCTGAAACCACAAAGCACATTCTGGCAATACAAGCTTGGTATTTTTGAAAAGATAAAGATCCCAAGAGCTCTTTAACTTCTGCTGTGCTCGACCTTTTTTTTTTTTTCCTTCCCTGTTCTCATCTCAGTTGTGTGGGGCGGGAATGCTAAATTGAAGGGCAGGAATATTCATGCACATAATGTAATCATCTTTCACGGAGCCAATTATCACGTACCTGTTTCTACTTTCAGGCTGAGAAATACATCAGACACCCACTGCTAAACCCAATAATGCAAGGGCCATTGCTAAACCAAGTGAAATAATTGTCCACTGTATTTTCCTGCAAATAACATACCCACATGAATAACATGCCCACATAGAACAAGGCCAGGGGCTGACTGGAGAACAGACCATCAACTGCTCATATGCAAGTTCAAGTTGAAGCTGAAGAAAATTAAAACAAGCCCACGAGACCCAAAGTATGACCTTGAGTACATCCCGCCTGAATTTAGAGATCATCTCAAGAATAGATTTGACTAATGACTGAAGATCAGACAAGTTGTAGGATGACATCAAGGACATCATCCATGAAGAAGGCAAAAGGTCATTAAAAAGACAGGAAAGAAAGAAAAGTCCAAAATGGATGACAGTAGAGAATCTGAAACTTGCTCTTGAATATAGAGTAAATAGCTAAAGAGAAAGGAAGAAATGATAAAGTAAAAGAGCTGAACAGAAGATTTCAAAGAGTGGCTCGAGAAGACAAAGTAAAGTATTATAATGAAATGTGCAAAGACCTGGAGATACAAAACCGAAAGGAAGAACATGCTCGGCATTTCTCAAGCTGAAAGAACTGAAGAAAAAATTCAAGCCTCAAGTTGCAATATTGAAGGATTCTATGGGCAAAATGGAGTCTTGGTGGTACAGTGCTTAAGAGATACGGCTGCTAACCAAAAGGTCAGTAATACAAATCCACCACTCGCTGCTTGGAAACCCTATGGGTAGTTCTACTCTGTCCTATAGGGTTGCTATGAGTCGGAATCAACTCGATGGCAATGGGTTTGATTGGTTATTATGGGCAAAATATTGAACAATGCAGGAAGCAACAAAAGAAGATGGAAGGAATACAGAGTCACTGTACCAAGAACAATTGGTTGACGTTCAACCATTTCAAGACATAGCATACGATCAAGAACTGATGGTACTGAAGGAAGAAGTCCAAGCTTCACTGAAGGCACTGGCGAAAAACAAGGCTCCAGGAATTGACGGAATACCAAACGAAATGTTTCAACAAATGGATGCAGTGCTGGAAGTGCTCACTCGTCTATGCCAAGAAATTAGGAAGACGGCAACCTGGCCAACAGAATGGAAGAGATCCATATACTTGCTCATTCCAAAGAAAGGTGATCCAACAGAAAGCAGAAATTATTGAATAATATCATTAATGTCACACGCAAGTAAAATTATGCTGAAGATGATTCAAAAACAGTTGTAGGGGTACATCGACAGTGAACTAGAAGAAACTCAAGCTGGATTCAGAAGAGGATGTGGAACGAGGGATATCATTGCTGTTGTCAGATGGATCTTGGCTGGAAGCAGAGAATACCAGAAAGATGTTTACCTGTGTTTGATTGACTATGCAAAGGCATTTGACTGTGTGAATCATAACCAATAATAACATTGGGAAGAATGGGAATTCCAGAACACCTAATAGTGCTCATGTGGAACCTGTACATAGACCAAGAGGCAGTCATTTGAACAGAACAAAGGGATACTGCATGGTTTAAAATCAGGAAAGATGTGCATCAGGGTTGTATCCTTTCACCAAACTTATTCAATCTGTATGCTGAGCAAATAATCCAAGAAGCTGGACTATATGAAGAAGAATGTGGCATCAGGATTGGAGGAAGACGCATTAACAAACTGCGATATGCAGATGACACAACCTTGCTTGCTGACAGTGAAGAGGACTTGAAGCACTTAACTGATGAAGATCAAAGACTACAGCCTTCAGTATGGATCACACCTCAACATTAAGAAAACAAAAATCCTCACAACTGGACCAATAAGCAACATCATGATAAACGGAGAAAACAAAGTTGTCAAGGATTTCATTTTACTTAGATCCACAATCAACGCCCACGGAAGCAGCAGTCAAGAAATCAAACGTCGTATTATATCAGGCAACGCAAACTCTCAGCCACTAAGCTTTATCGTCTAAACTCTACTAAAGGCTGCATCAGGATGCTGTGAATTTCTTCTCCCTGTGAAGCTCTTCCTACGGCAGTGCTGAGAAGGGGAAAAAAAGCATGCAGCTAAGAAAAATCTGACAGGCAGACAGAATTCCTAGGTAGAGAAAGCAGAGGTTTGGGGATAGGAAATGAGCCAGGGGGAAACACTCAGATAAACATGTGAGCGAAAGGCCTTTTAGGCTCCTCAAAGTGATGGAAGAGAGGGCTGAGTCTAACTACAAAATAATGGTCAAAACATCTGGTTGTATTAAAGAGTTAGTTTTATAAATATCACCTATCTTAAAAGATAAAGACAGTTTATATAACTATGCTTCTTGGGGAAAAGAAACAGTTATCCCAAAACTGGCAAAACAACCTTGGAATTTAGACTTTGAGATTATAAACAAATGCCCTATTGCCACCTGGTTAACAGACTGCTGAAAGTCATGGAAGTTTTCTTGAAGAGAAAATAACACCTTCGAAGCTTAATTTGCAAAATAAGTCATGAAATGCCAACATGTGACAGTAACAACCCCTTTGTCCCCCCTCCCCGCCCCACGTGTGACAGGCTATCAGTGTGGACCTGGCAAAGAGTCAACACTCAATGTTTGTGGATTCACAGCTCAATTCCATAGAGAATCTGAATTCATGCCTGTCCTTTCTGTGAACAAATATATTTATATGTATATTTATATGATTATGATTTTAATTTATGATGTATTTTAGAATGGAATCAAAATCTTCATTTGGTTCTGCCTGAATCCTATTACAGGTGTGTACTGAAATATCAAATTGATGGCCATCTGTGAGGCAGTTGCTCTAAATCAAGGGCTATATTTAGAAAGAGTCTGCTTTCAAGAACAGTACCTCTCCTTCCCCACCGCCACTGATGACCCTTTTACAGTCACTCGTGGTAGCGATGGCGGTCACTCCGATCCTGTGAGCACTGTTAATGACATACATCAGCCGGCCTGTCTCTGGGGCGAAGGCTCGGATTTTACCATCATCCCACGCTGGTATGAAAGGGAAACAAAAAGCAGGCGGGATCAGTATACTCACCCTCTCTCCACACAGAGAGTGCTGCTCTCTTATATCATCAATGGGCATCAGAACTGGGAGTAGTGGTGGTGATAGAAGAAAGAGGAAGCCCCCACCTACTGCCACTAATCACATCCCCTGTCCCTTGATGTCCCAAACTGGTAACCCCTGGCTGAGGGAAAAAGAGTTCTTTGTCTTGGTTGAAACTTCTCTAGGCATATCCCATTCCAGGTAAGGGAGGGTGGGAAGAGAAGGAAGTAGGAGGCCACCTCCCTTCTCTCCATGAGCTGCAGACTTGTACATACAACTCTCTATAGTTGATATCATCCCCGAAATGTATAATTTCACATTTTCAGATAAAGCACTGATTTTCCGGCCCACATCCTTAAATCTGCTGCTCCTTGCACCACCATCTTCCCCATCCAATAAAATTTGCCATCATTCATCTAGTTGCTCAAGCCAAGAACCTCAGGGTCATCCTTGATTCCTCTCTATTCCACACTCCCCCCACCCACACATATTCAATCCATCCACAAGTGCCATCAGCTCTACCTTTAAAAAACATCTAGAATATGATCACTTCTCAATCCTCCACTGCAGCCACCCTCCTCCAATCCACTCCCGCCATTTCTCTCTTGAATTATTGTAACAGCTTCCTCCTCCAGCTTCCATTCTTGCTCTCCTATAATCAGTTATCTACACAGCAGCCACGGTGAACCTTTTAAAACCATGTGACCTCCCTGATCAAGAACTTCCAAAAGGTTTTCCTACTGTACTCAGAATAAACATCCAAATTTCTTTATCCTACACAGTAACTAGTATTCACCCTCTACCTACCTTTTCAATGTCCATGTCATGGACTGAATTGTGTCTCCCAATTTGGCTAGGCCATGATTCCCAGTATTATGTGACTGTCCACTGTTTTGTCATCTGATGTGATTTTCCTATGTGTTGTAAATCCTACCTCTATGATGTTAATGAGGTGGCATAGGTGGCAGTTATGTTAATGAGGCAGGACTCAATCTACAAGATTAGATTGTGTCTTGAGTCAATCTCTTTTGAGATATAAAAGACAGAAGCAGCAGAAAGACAGGGAGACCTCATACCACAAAGAAAGCAGCACCAGCAGCACAGCGTGTCCTTGGGACCCAGGGTTCCTGCTTGGAGAAGCTCCCAGCTCAGGGGAAGATTGATGACAAGGACCTTCCTCCAGAGCTGCCTGAGAGAGAAAGCCCTCCCCTGGAGCTGACACCCTGAATTTGGACTTCTAGCCTACTAGACTATGAGAGAATAAACTTCTGTTTGTTAAAGCCATCCACTTGTGGTATTTCTGTTATAGCAGCATTAGATAACTAAGACACTCCCCTTCTACCACTCAAGCTCCCAACATACTGCTCAGTGATTTCCCACCTCAGGGCCTTTGCACTTTCTATTCCCTCTGTCTGGAACACTCTTACCAGGTCATCATATGGCTGGCTTTAGTGTCACCTCTTGACCAATTTTAAATAGGATGCTCAAGGTAGATCTCATTTCAGCAAAGATTTGAAGGAAGTGAGCCATGGGGGCATCTGGGGGAAGAATATTCCAGGCAGACAGAGCAGCTAGAGCAAAGGCACTGTGCCCAGTGTATTTGAGGAACAGCAAAGAAGCAAGGATGGCTGGAGGGGGTGCGTAGTAAGAGAAAGATCAGAAGTAAGAAGGTGGAGGTGGCAGAGAGAAAGAAGATCATGTAGGGTTTTATAGGCCATTGCAGGGACTTTGTCTCTTGAGCCTTAGAAATGACATAACCTGCCTTACATTTAAAAAGAGAACAGACTGGGAAAAGAGGGTGATGGACAAAGGTAGATGCAAGCAGACCAGGTAGCAAGCCATTAGAGTAACCGGGGAGAGAGCTGATGGTGGCTAGGACCAGGGTGGAGATGATAAGAAGTAATGGAATGCTGGATACATTTTGAAGTTAGAGCTTTTAAGGGCATGTGAATGTAGGGTATAGAGCCCTGGTGGCGCAGTGGTTAAGAGCTACAACTGCTCAGCAGAAGGTCGGCAGTTCAAATCCACCAGCTGCTCCTTGGAAACCCTATGGGGCAGTTCTACTCTGTCCTATAGGGTGGTCATGAGTTGGAATCGACTTGATGGCAATGGGTGGTTGTGGGGTATTAGAGAAAAAGAGAAAGATGACTCCAAGATTTTTGACCTGAGGGTTAGTTAGCTCTAAGTACAATGTACACCAACAGCTCCTGGTGGCCACTGTGTGGAGAAGTCACCCCTGAGAGAGAAGCCAACATGGAAGAAACAGCCAAGAAGAGAGGGAATGAGATGGGTTCTTGATGCCATTATGTTAATAGCTGCACCTAAAGATCCAGCCTCCTGAATTTTCATTGATGTGAACCAGTAAATTTACTTTTTGACCACTGAGAAATTTGCATATGTGCTGGACATAAGAAAACATTAAGAAATTGTTATTTCATAGGAAAATAATATTTTTAGAGATGCATACTGAAGTATTGAGAGGTGGAATATCATGGTGTTTATAATGTATGCTAAAATACTTTGGCATAAAATAATAAATCGAATTAAAAATAAATAAACTCCCTTGGGGGCATAATTTAGTTTAATTTGGATTTTTATCTCATTTATTTTTTGTGGAGCCCTGGTGGCGTAGTGGTTAAGAGCTCAGCTGCTAACCAGAAGGTTGGCAGTTCAAATCCACCAGGCTCTCCTTGGAAACTCTATGCGGCAGTTCTACTCTGTTCTATAGGGTCATTATGAGTTGGAATTGACTTGATGGCAACAGGTTTTATTTTTGGGGGCCCTGACTCAGTGAGTCCTCAAATCTACCTTGTAATTGAATTTACTAGATTTCTCCGCTCTACAGAAGGATAGGTGCTATATGCAGCAATTTGGGAGAAAAGGAATTGCCATTTGGTTCTTCCTAGCTCTGAAACACTCCCAGAGGGAGGGGAACTCAAAAGAGAGGCTAGATTACAAGAAAGGAGGGGGGTGGACAGTGGGAGGCTGTTCCAGGTGATTCCCACATGGAGACTACTGTAGAAAGAGAATGACAAGAATCAAATCCAAGGCCGGAGCCCGAATCCGAATCTTGACAGGTAGATGTTACCTGAAATGATGCTCTTCCCATCTCTCATGAAATCAATGCCGTGGCAGGTCATGTTGGGCACAGTGATCCGCAGCAGCTCCCTGTTGGACAACATGTGCCACACTCTGATGTCTCTCTTGGCACAGGTAGCAAACAGCTCAGCAGTGCCACTGCAAAGAAGCCATAAACAGACTAAGAGATGCAGCCATAAAAGACACACAGTGTTTCTCAGATGTGTATTTGACAATAAAATGTGGTTCACAAGGATATAGGGAAGGGTGCGTTTTAGATGTCACTGACTATCTGAAGGCTTGATAATCTTACAAATTTCTTGTGTAAAATAGCATTTGATGCCCTCAAATCATCTGTGGCCATTTTTTTGCAGTCCTTTTCCTTTAGGAAGGGTAGGGTAAAGCTGCTCAAAAAGAAAAAGTCAATTTAAAAGTCTCTCAATGCTCTAGTAGACTAGACAATGGTAAGTAACATCTCTTCAGATTCACATCTGTGGAATATTTATATTAAAAGAGGCTCAACAAACCTTTCCCTGTAAAGTAGACAATCTCACTAAAATTTCAAAGAAGAAAATGACAAGTATGCTAGGATTTATGTTTGCAGACAACCCAAACACTTCTTTGCTTAGTTATGAGGAAATATGAGATGTGGGCAAGGAAGAAAATCCCAGTAAATTTATCTGTCAGTTGTTGTTTTTTTTTTTTTTAAAGACAAATATAGGAAAGTACCAATATGTAAAACAATTATACAATTTATGTTGATGGTGGTGGAATAATTCAGAAAAGAATAGTGAAAATGGTTGTACAACATGAACAATGTAATCAATGTTACTGAATTATACATGTAGAAATTATTGAATTGGCAAATGTTTTGTTATGTATATTTTTACCACAATTAAAATAAATGATTACACATTATTCCAACTTGGATAAGTAAAAGGAATAATACTGGGGTACAATAAAGACCATCTGCTTTCTAAGTATACATTTCTAGCTACAGTCTCTCAGGAAACTGAAGCTAACTTTTAGATCTAAGTATTTCTTAAGTAATTTCTACATTTCATAATAAGCACATTCATAAAAAGAAAGAATCCTTCTCTTTTATTTTAAGACCCACTCACTTTGGAATTAATAGAAAAATAATGGAAAGTGAGCTCTGAAAGAGGTACATGAGTTACTCATAAAAATAAAATATCATGAAATGAATGCCCCTAGAGAACTTTCCAAACTCTCCCTACCCTTGATGGACAGTTCACTTCCTCAGGAGTCAAGCCTAGTCCAAAAATAAGCCTTTCAAATTATAGATTGCTCTTAGTTTAAGATCTGAGAGATTAAATTCCAGGAAAAATGCAAACAACCGGAATGTCCATCAACTAATGAATGGATAAACAAAAAGTGCTATATTCATAGAATATTACTAATCAGTAAAAAGGAATAAAGCACCAATAAATGCTATAATATGAACCTGAAAATATTATGCTAAATGGATAGGGTGATGGTGGAACAACATGATGAACATAATTATTGTTACTGAACTGTACCTGTAAAGATTGTTGAAATGGTAAATGTTTTGTTACATATATACTTACCACAATAAAAAACAAATTAAAAAAGAATTATGCTAAGTGAAAGAAGCCAGTCACAGAGGACCGCATATTGCATAATCCCATTTATATGAAATGAACAGGACAGGAAAATCCACAGAGATGGAAAGTAGATTATGGTGGTGGGCTGGGGAAGGGAGAGAAGGAAGAGAACGTGGGGGAATTGGGGTAACTGCCAACGGATTTCTTTTGGGGATGATGAAAATATTCTAAAATTAGATTACAATGATGGTTGCACAACTCTGTATATATACTAGAAACCATTCACTTGTACCTTCTGAATGGGTGAACTTTACAGTCCTTAAATTATATCTCAATAAAGGTATTTAAAAAAAAGAAAGAAAGAAAAAGAAGAGGTACAAAGCCTAAATAGATCAATAACCATATAAGAAGCTGAAAAGATAGCTTAAAATCTACCTTTAAAAAAGGCATCAGAACCAAACAATTTTACAGATTCATTCCACTGAGTTCCTTAGGAAAGGAGATAAAAGTGAGCCACAAAGGAAACGATTCATTTATTTTCAAATAAAGATGCATACAGTGAGAAAGCACCAGCCATGTTCACTATTAGAATTATTTGTAAGAACCTAATTGCAAGGACTCAGGGAATCCTGATCTCACGATCTCAGGATTGAGTTTTGAAAGTGAGTCTTACTAATGTATACAACAATGCCTTTGAGTTTTGTAAATTCAAGCTAAATAATGAGGCCGTTCAGAGCAAAAACTGTCTGACCAACTTCCTGGAATGGATCTTACCAATGACAAAATGTGTTTCATAATCAAGTAATGGCAAACCATGACTGAAGTTCTTTTTGATGGTGTCTTAGGCTGAGTTCTCTAGAGAAGCAAAACCAGTAAAGCGTACAAGTATGTATATATAGAGATTTTTATCAAAGAAATGGTTCATGCAATTGTAGAGGCTGGAAAGTTCCAAGTCTGTGGGTCAGGATAGAGGCTTGTCCTGATTCACGTAGCCAAGGGGCTATCAAACCCAAGATCAGCAGGTCAGACAGCAGGGCTCTTGTTCACAGGCTATGAAGATTAACAGATCCCAGTATCGGCAGGCAAGATGGCAGGTAAGCTGTTAGCTCAAGTCCAAAGAACTAGAGGTCAGATAAACAGGAGCCAGTTGCAGGATGCAGAGCAAGCAAAAGCCCCCAAGTCTTGCCAGACAGTCCACCTGTATTAGATACAGGCCACATCCCCAAGGAAACTCCCTTTCAACTGATTGGCTACTGACAGCAGATCCCATCTTGGAAGTGATCACATTAGATTTGAAAGTGAACACATCATTATATGATTGCCAAACCATTGACAATCATGGCCCAGGCAAGTTAACACACAACCTTAACGATCACAGATGGCTATTTGCTTCATTTGCTCTGTGCGGCATTTACCAAGAAATACAGCCGCTAGATTCAGACGGCCTCTTACACCCAATACCATCAGGTCTGCCAAATCTGGAAGACCGAAGTATACAAACAAATGACTTGAAAGAGTTTTGCCAGGAGGTTCCACTAAGCTTATTCCAGACAGCATTGGGAAAAACAGGAAAGTTTTGCTAGTCTATTTATCCTTTACATGATGGGTTTATTAGAAAAGTCAAAATTCTAAAGAAGCCCAAATCTGAGTTGGGAAAACTAATATAACTACATGGTGAAGGCAATAGAAAGTCTATTAAAATAACTCCTTCCATTAGAAAATTTTAAGGAGATGCAGTACAATGAGTTACTTAATATGGCCCTTCCAGCCATAGCCTGGAAACCCTGGTGATGTAGTAGTTAAGCACTATGGCTGCTAACCAAGAGGTCAGCAATTCAAATCCACCAGGCACTCCTTGGACCCCTATGGGGCAGTTCTACTCTGTCCTATAAGGTTGTTATGAGTTGGAATCAACTCGATGGCGATGGGTTTGGTTTTTTGGTTTTAGCCATAGTCTTTGTGACTCACATACAATGATTGAGTGGAACTATGCAAAGATGGTATATGGAACCCTAACAAAGGGATTGGTCAGTTTTGCCATCCTGCTAGACTTAAAAGGAGACATCCCAGAGGCGGGAAGAAAGGATCTCACCACCACCAAGAAAGAAGAGCAAGGAGTGGAGTGAATCCTTTGGACCCAGGGTCCCTATGCTGAGAAGTTCCTGGAACCAGGAGACTGAGAGAGAGAGCTATAAAACTAAAGATGGTGAAAAGCAGTGGCAGAGAAACGACGGCAGCAGAGGCAGGAAACAGCAGGAGACTGGCAGGAGATGGCGCAGTGGGCTTCCTGGTCCAGAGCAAGAAAACTGACTACCTTCAGGCAGGAGACTTGCTGGCAGAGTAGGATGCCTCTGTGTACTTGTGGAAGCTGGGTTTGCTGACCCATGGAGATAGAGCTGAGTGCCTTCAGGCCAGGGCTTACTAGAGGAGTCGGGTGCCTCTGTGCACTTATCAGCACAGCTAAAAGAGCTTTGTAACACTTGCCCAGCAGGGCAGAGGCCAGGCCGAAGGGCTGAGGGGCCAAGGACTAGGGAGATACCTGCCTGGGGGTACAGCTGAAAAGAGGCTGTCCTGATGGAAGAACTGTATCCTGAGCGTTCCTGAACCTGAATCGTAACCTGTTACTTCCCTAATAAACTCCACAATCGTGAGTATTGTCTGTGAGTTCTGCCTGACCATTGCAACGAATTATCGAACCCAGCAGTGAAGTAGAGAGTGCTGTCAGAGGGATGGTTGGTGTCAGAATTGGTGGGGAGAGAGGAGGTATATCTGACCTCCGCCTCATAGGAATCAGCCTCGGACTGTTGATCTTGATTTTTAACCCCTTGTGAAGTTAGAGGAGGTCAAGGCACCACCTCTGTGCTTTTTTATAGGAGAGAAATCATAATTATATTAATAGATGTTGAAAATAAATTAATAAAATTAAATTCCCTTATACAAGGTATCAAATGTCCACAATCTCAAAGTTTTAGGACGAAAACATTTTTGTGTTTTACTTACAATGGAAAGACAATATCCTGGACAGCTTCAAAGTGACAAGTAGCAATGAGAGTCTCTTTGAAATCTGTGAAGTTGACACGATAAATGTGTGATTCTTCTGTTCCTACAAAAAACTGGTGTCCTTCGCCTCGAAGTGTGATGGAAGTGATGCCACCCTGTAACTGAATTCTCCTTTAAAAACAAGAAAAAGCAAAGTAGATCCATTCAATCAATCAACAAATATTTATTAACCATCTAAATCATTGTTGTGTGCCATGGAGTCAATTCCAATTCATAGTGACCCTACAGGACAGAGCAGAACTCCCCCATAGGGTTTTCTAGGCTGTAATCTTTACAGGAGCCGATCGCCAGGTCTTTTCTCCTTCGGAGACGCTGGTGGGTTTGAACCGTCCAGTTTTCAATTAGCAGCTGAGCACTTAACTATTTCTCCATCAGGGCTCCTTATCTAAATCATTACAGTATACAAAACATGCACATTACAGTATACAAAACATGACACAGTTGTAAAGGCAGGAATATTGTGCACCCCATGGTCAGTAAAGGTTAAATGGTAAGGGAAGCTTCATCAGTGAGATACAATCTGAAATGGATTGTGCAACGCGGTAGGATCTGGACAGAGAGAACATTCCAGGCAGGCATATGGGTGCAAATGACCATGGCAATTAAACACTCCATTAATTCCATTTCTGGGAAATAATCCTAAAATCAGCAATTAAAAAAAAAATACTTTATGTCAAAGGATGTTATCATAACCTTGTTTAAGAGAAAATGTTAGAAACAATCAAAATATCCAATGGTAACAATGGTTAAAAGAGCCATGAGGCACCAATTTCGTAGAATATTTGGCTAGCCTTTCAAACGATGGTTAAAAGGCTACTTTGTAATATTGAAATGCTTAGGATGCTTGCATTAAGTAAAAAATCAGGATGCAAAATTTTATATTATTTAAAATTTATATGAATAACAAAGAAAAAAATAATAAAATGTTAACAATGGGTTGTGTTTACCAGAACTTGCAGGAATTATTTTTTCTTCTTCTACACTTTAGACTCTGCCCCCTCCCCAAATGTTTAATGAGCATGAAGTGTTTTGTTTGGTTTACAGAACATATAAATAAATGAGGCCATAAGCACACAACCTTGCTCTGCAACTAATTTAGGGTTTTTTGTTTGTTTCTGTTTTTGTTTTAAGGAGAAAATGGCATCTTTATTCTGTTGAAAATTCCCACACAAGAGCATAATAGTCCAAATTATCTAAATTCTGTGCATATTTGTCCCTCATGAGGATTTGTGTGTGTGTGTGTGGTGAAAATGTACACAACAAAACACACACCAATTCAACAACTTCCTAATTTAGTTTGACAATAAGTAGTCATTCAATGGGGGTTTTGGACAAGAAACTAGACTGGGAAATGCAGTGTTTTAGAAAGGTTAATTTGTTGGTGGCACACAGAACAGTTAATGAAGAAAGGATGTTTATAGCAAGGATTTTAATTAAATAGACCCCAAGGCATATCCCAGCTTCTTCACTAACTTGAGCTCTGTGACTCTGGACAAGTTGCCTCAGTTTACTCAACCACATATATCTCCTGCCTTACAGAGTTGTAGTAAAGATCAGAGGCAATGCAGGTAAAGCACATGAGCTCATAGAGAACAACCAGGGAACACTGGCTGTGGGGTAAGAGATCCCGAGAGGACAAGGGGAAGTCCAGAGCTACGGCGTAAGGGATCCCCCAGAGCTAGGGAGGGTGAGGCCAAAGGCCTCATGACTTCAGCAGTCTGTTCGGAGCACACTTCTTCCTTTTCTAGTCTCCACGACTTTTCATGTGAGCTGCCTTATCAATCTACTAAAATCTAAGGAGGCAGAAATCCCTGCATCCAATCTGAGCCTAGCTGCCACACAGGGTTGTTTTGAAGACATTAATATCACGTCTTCTGGAGGCAGAAACTTATAATAATTGCTTTGAGTCTTATTATCTTCATCACAGCGTGAGCAATTGCATATCAAAAACAAGAGGTGAAAAAATTAGAGCTAATTTATTACATTCACTTCATGTATCCAAAGTCCGTCCATCATTGTTCTACAGTCCCCTCCCTCCTTAGTCTTCCTCAAACAACCACAAAACTGGTCAAAATATATTCTCAATAAGACCTACCCCGACCGCAGAATGTAAAATTGCATTCTGATCCCCTACTCTCCCCGTTTAGGCCCTGATCCCCCTCACCCTACTTCATTCATCCCCATGGTACTGATCACCCTTTAAAACCATGTACTTTTTCCTGTTTATTTTCTGATCATTTTTTTCCTTCTGCTAGAATGTCAGCTCCATGAGGGCAGGGAGCTCTTTTCTTCTTGGTTTGCGTTATTCATCGATATATCCCAGGCACCTAGAATAGCGCCTGGCACATAGTGAGTGCTCTACACGTATTTGTTTGAGTGAAGACAGCTGATGCTTGTTTCCACAGTGCACATGCTTTCTAGGAGCTAGCAGAGGCCACATGGAGCATGTCTATGAGTGGCTGGCCTTTTGTTAGAGCTGAGCTCAACTTCTGCCTCTGTTCCTCTGTGAAGCCTCTTCCTTGACTTCTCCAGCCCAGCGTGATCACTCCCTTCTCTGATCTTCTCTCTGACATCCATGATATATTTTGCTTTATCTGGACCATGAAGTGTGTGCTTATACACCATCTTATATTGTAGTGACTGTTTCATGTGTATATACTTTATCCCCAAACCAGATTGTAAGTTCTAGGAGAGCAAACAACGTACCTTATTTTTCTTTACTGTTTTACTATCTAGCACAATGGTTTGGACAGATGAAGTAGTCAATAAATATTTATTGATGACGATGTATAAGGGTTTCCTTCATTTTATTTTAATTAGATAAGCCATGAAAGGTGCACAGCATAGTATCTGGCACATAGAAATTGCTGGTAAATGTTGGCTACTTGTATTAGAGTTTGTATTCAAATGTATTAACTACTAGCACAGTTCCTGGCACATAATAGGTACCCAATAAAATTTGTTGAATAAAACAATTTTGAAAAGTTTGAAATTTGGTGTTATATGTTGGATACATTTATAACAGCACACTTCCTTTATACTGGCTCAATGCATTAGCTAAATAATAATAATGTATTTATTAAAAGGATAGTATCCCCTTTGGGTAGGTTAAGAGCTTGACTGCTAACCAAAATGTCGGCAGTTCGAATCCACCAGCCACTCCTTGGAAACCCTATGAGGCAGTTCTACTCTGACCTATAGGGTCACTATGGGTCGAATCGACTCAACGGCAACAGGTTTAGTTTGGTTTGGCTTTGGCTTGATTCAACATAAGCCATTGTCTTTTCATTGGCAAAGAAACCATCAATTTACTGTGATTCCAACTACTCATTTTAACAGCAAGAGGACATTGTTTTACCAAATGTCAATTTGCTACTATCACTTAGTTGCTGGCTTGAAGCAAACCTCCCTCTGGTGGTTGTATCCCTATCACAACCCTGCGGGACCCAGAACTTACTTGATAACTTTGTAGCTGGGGCTTTTACAGAAGACCAGCAGTCCAGCTCCAGAGCCCAACAACAGACCCCCCGTCTTCAGGCACTTGACAGCTGACACCCCCTGGGGGAAGAAATATCCTTTAAGAAAAAGACCAAGGAGTCTTATCATTAAGAGTCTATGCAATTCCCCTGGAGAATGGGAAACAGACAAGAATGGCCTTTATCACTATTCTTATTCAACATTGTACTGGAAGTCCTAGCTAGAGCAGCTAGAGCAATAAGGGAAGAAAAGGAAATAAAGGGCATCCACACTGGTAAGGAAGAAGTAAAACTATCCCCATTCGCAGATGATATGATCCTATACATAGAAAATCCCAAAGATTCCACAAGAAAGCTACTGGAACTAATAGAAGGATTCAGCAAAGTAGCAGGACACTAGATCAGCATACAAAAATCAGTTGGATTCCTCTACACCAACAAAGAGAATTTTGAAAAGGAAATCAGGAAAATGATACCATTTACAGTACTCCTCTAAAAGATAAAATACTTACGAATAAATCTAACCAGGGATGTAAAAGCCTATATAAAGAAAACTATAAAACACTACTGCAAGAAACCAAAAGAGACCTACATAAATGCAAAAATATACCATGCCAATGGATAGGAACACTCAACATTGTGAATATGTCAATACTACCCAAAGCGATCTACAGATATGATGCAATCTTGATCCAAATACCAACAGAATTCTTTAACGAGTTGGAAAAACTCATCACCAACTATATATGGAAAAGAAAGAGGTCCCGGATAAGTAAAGCATTATTGAAGAAGAACAAAGTAGGAGGCCTCACACTACCTGATCCCAGAACCTACTATGCAGCTGCCTCAGATTGAATTGTGTCCCCCCCCCCCCAAATACGTGTATCAATTTGGCCAGGCAATGATTCCCAGTACTGTGTGATCGTCCAACATTTCGTCATCTGATGTGATTTTCCTATGTGTTATAAATCCTATCTCTATGATGTTAATGAAATGGGATTAGTGCTAGTTATGTTAATGAGGCAGGACTCAATCTACAAGATTAGATTGTGTCTTAAACCAGTCTCTTTTGAGATATAAAAGAGGGAAGCAAGCAGAGAGACGGGGGACCTCATACCGCCAAGAAAGCAAGGCTGGGAATAGAGCACATCCTTTGGACCCAGGATCCCTGTACCTGAGAAGCTCCTAGACAAAGGGAAGACTGATGACAAGGACCTTCCTCCAGAGCCAACAGAGAGAGAAAGACCTCCCCTGGAGCTGATGCACTGAATTTGGACTTCTAGCCTATTAGACTGTGAGAGAATAAACTTCCGTTTGTTGAAATCATCCACTTGTGGTATTTCTGTTTCTTTTTTTTTTTTTTTAATTTATTTTATTATTTTTGTTGTCGTTCAGAATATACACAGCAAAAAACATACACCAATTCAAGTTGCTACACATACATTTCAGTGACAATGATTACATTCTTCAAGTCGTGCAACCATTCTCACCCTCTCCATAATTTTATTGATGCTGCCTTTGCTTGTCTCAGATGGGTGTCTCTTGATGGGTCATATTCTTGTGACCTGACCTTACCAATGCCAGTAAATTTCTATTAGTCCTTAAACTAGCCCATATCAGATTTGGCCCACCCCGCATGCCCAGAAGGGCCAGCTGTGACCACTAACTGACCTCAACAGAGGACGCAGCAACAGGAGGAACAAATCAGAAGGAAAATCATCACCCGGACCCTATTCTGAAGCAAGAGGTCTGACAAGAACCACATCACCTCCTGTTTCCTGGTCACCTTCTAGAGTTTTCCCTCCCCAGAACACCTGCGCAGCGGCCAGCTTGCTGCCCAAATCACATATAAGCCCTGCTTCCCCATGGCTCGAGGAGCCCGGACCTGAGGAACTTCCTCCTGGTTCCTTGCTCTGTGCATTGCAATGAAGTTACTTTCTCAACGACTGGTGTCCAGATAATTGGCAAGTCTGAGCGCACCAGACAAGGACCTACCTTTTAGGGTTCAGTACATTCTCAAATCTGTTTTTGCTTCACATACTAGGTTTTTGGTTTGTTTTTTCTTTTGGTACTTCAGATGAAGGTTTACATAACAAACTAGCTTCTCATTAAACAATTAGTCTACATACTGTTTTATGACTTTGGTTACCAACCCCACGACATGTCAATGCTCTCCCCTTCTCAACTTTGGGTTCCCTATTACCAGCTTTCCTGTCCCCTCCTGCCTTCTCGTCCTTGCCCCTGGGCTGGTATGCCCCTTTAGTCTTGTTTTGTTTTATGGGCCTGTCTAATCTTTGGCTGAAGAATGAACCTCAGGAGTGACTTCATTACTGAGCCAAAAGGGTGTCCGGGAGCCATACTCTCAGGGTTTCTCCAGTCTCTGTCAGGCCAGTAAGTCTGGTCCTTTTTTTGTGAATTAGAATTTTGTTCTACATTTTTCTCCAGCTCTGCCCAGGACCCTCTATTGTGAACCCTGTCAGAGCAGTCAGTGCTGGTAGCCAGGTACCATCTAGTTGTGCTGGAGTCAGTCTGGTGGAGGCTATGGTAGTTGTGGTCTATTAGTCCTTTGGACTAATCTTTCCCTTGTGTCTTCGGTTTTCTTTATTCTCTCTTGCTCCAGATGGGGTGAGACCAGTGGAGTATCTTAGATGGATGCTCACAAGGTTTTAAGACCCTAGATGCTATTCACCGAAGCAGAATATAGAACATTTTCTTTAGAAACTATGTTAAGCCAATTAAGCTAGATGTTCCTCGAGACCATGGTCCCCATAGCCCTCAGCCCAGTAATTCAGTCCCTCAGGGAGTTTGGACATGTCTATGGAGCTTCCATGACCTTGCCTTGGACAAGTTGTGCTGGCTTCCCCAGTATTGTGTATTTCACTTGTGGTATTTCTGTATAGCAGCACTAGATGACTAAGACAAAAGCTATGGTAATCAAAACAGCATGGTACTGGTACAACAGAGAGACACATAGATTAATGGAACAGAATCAAGAACCCAAATGTAAATCCATCCACCACCTATGGTCAGCTGGTCTTTGACAGAGGGCCAAAGTCCATTAAATGGGGAAAAGACAGCCTCTTTAACAAATGGTGCTGGCATAACTGGATGTCCACATATAGAAAAAATGAAGCAAGATCCATACCTTACACCATACACAAAAACTAACTCAAAATGGATCAGAAACCTAAATGTAAAACCTATAACTATAAAGCTAATGGAGGAAAAAATAGGAACAACACTAGTGGCCCTAATACATGGCATAAATAAAATACCAAACATAACTAAAAATGCACACACAGCAGAAGATGAACTAGATAAATGGGACCTCCTAAAACTTAAATATTTATGCTCAACAAAGGACTTCTCAAAAAGAGTAAAAAGTGAACCTACAGACTGGGAAAAATTTTTTGCTACAACGTATCCAACAAGGATCTAATCTCTAAAATTTATAGAAAACTTCAACACCTCAACAATAAAAATACAAACAATCCAACTAAAAAATGGACAAAGGGTATGAGCAGACACTTCACCAAAGAAGACATTCAGGCAGAAAACAAACATATAAAGAAATGCTCTCAATCATCAGCAATTAGAGAGATGCAAATCAAAACTACAGTGAGATACTATCTCACCCCTATGTTACTGGCGCTAATCAAAAAACAGAAAATAACAAACATTGGAGAGGCTGCAGGGAGATTGGGACTCTTACACGCTGCTGGTGGGAATGCAAAACGGTACAACCATTTTGGAAAACGATATTGCTCTTCTTTAAAAAGCTAGAAATAGAAATACCATATTATCCAGCAATCCCACTCCTAGGAATATATCCTAGAGAAATAAGAGCCATCACACAAATAGACATATGCACACCCATGTTCACTGCATTATTATTCACAATAGCAAAAAGATGGAAACAACCTAGGTGCCCATCAACAGATGAATGGATAAACAAACTATGGTACATGTACATAATGGAATACTATGCAAAAATAAAGAGCAATGATGAATCTGCAAAACATCACACAACATGGATGAATCTGGAGGGCATTATGCTAAGTGAAATAAGTCGATCACAAAAGGACAAATACTGTACAAGACCATATTAGAAAAACACATGAAAATGTTTCTATACAGAAAGAAACAATCTTTAATGATTATGAGGGAGGGGATGGGGAGGGAAAAACACTAATATATGGGGCCCTGGTGGCACAGTGGTTAAGCATTTGGCTGCTAACTAAAAGGTTTACAGTTTGAAATCTGCCAGTTGCTCCTTGGAAATCCTATGGGGCAGTTCTACTCTGCCCGATAGGGTCACTGTGAGTCGGAATCAACTAGATTGCAATGGGTTTGATTTTTTTGGTTTAAAATAGTAGATAAGCGGTAATTTTGGTAAAGAGTAAGACAGTACACAATACTGGGGAAGTCAGTACAACTTGACCAAGGCATAGCCATAGAAGCTTCACAGACACAGCCAAACTCCCTGAGGGACCAAGCTACTAGGGCTGAGAGCTGGGCATCATGGTCGCGGGAGACATCTAGCTCAACAGGCATAACACAGTCTATAAAAATAAGTTCTACATCTGACTGGGTGAGTAGTGTCTGTGGTATTAAAAGCCTGTGAGCAGCCATCTAAGATACATCTACTGGTCCCATCCTGTCCGGAACAAAGGAAAATGAAGAAAATCAAAGACACAAGGGAAAGATTAGTCCAAAGGACTAATAGACCACAACTACACAACCTCCACTAGACTGAGCCTAGAACAACTAGATGGTGCCTGGTTACCACCACCGACTGCCCTGGCAGGGATCACAGTAGAGGGTCTCGAACAGAGTGGGAGAAAAATGTAGAATAAAATGCAAATTCACACACACACAAAAAGACCAGGCTTGCTGGTCTGACAGAGACGGGAGAAGGCCCCAGAGTATTGCCCCTGGACACCCTTTTAACTCAGTACTTAAGTCACTCCCAAGGTTCATCCTTCAGCCAAAGATTAGACAGGTCTATAGAGCAAACAATAACACATGGGAGGAACATGCTTTTTAGTTCAGTCATGTATAGGAGATTAATGGGTACATCAGCCCAAAAGCAAAGATGAGAAGGCAGGAAGTGACAGGAAAACTGGACAAATGGAAACAGGGAACCCAGGGTGGAGAATGGGAGAGTGCTGACACATTTTGAGGTTGGCAACCAATGTCACAAAACAATTCGTGCATGAACCGTTTAATAAGACACTAATTTACTCTGTAAACTTTCACCTAAAGCACAATTTAAAAGAAAAAAAAAGAACCCTTGAGTGAACATTCTCAGCATTTGTTCAGGGACTATAAAGTTTGAAGAAGCAAGGAAAACGAAGAGTTAAACAGAGCCTCTAAGTTATGTATGTGTGATTTCTAAATAAACTTTTTAAAAACTATAGACGATAGTGGTTAAGTGTACAGGTTCTGGAGCCAGTCAGTGGCGTCCCTAAGGGGGTGCAGGGGTGCCAACTGCACTCTCTGACACTGTCAGAGGGAGTGACACTGTCAGAGGGGGTGACACCAAAACGACCGCAGGGTCCAAGGCGGCTGAGAGCAAGCTGGGGCCGCTGGGGGAAGGGCCACCAAGGCAGTGGCATCACTAGAGCTGCTGTTACCCATCATCTAGTGCAGGAACTCATCCCCTCCCCTCCCCCAACACCGGCCAGTTAGGGTGCGGGTGGGTGGGTCAAGGCATCTGCCATTGGGCTGAGAGGATCATCCCCACCTTGGCCAATCTGAGAGGAGAGGAACTGCAGGGAGGTGGTGGAAGGGGCGGGGCACGAGGCTGGGTATGAGGCCCACAACGGGGCGGTGCGGGGCCAGGCCGCTCCGTCCACCCCGATGGTGACATCATGAGTTACCACACTGAGTGAGACCAACCCTAGTGACGCCACTGGCCAGCCTGCCTGGGTTCAAATCACGGCTCTACTACTTGCTTGCCATAACATCTGAAATGGCACGTGCCTCAGTTTCCTCTTCTGTAAGATGGGTAAAAATGGTCCTGACCTCATCGGGTTGTTGTGAGGACTAAATGAGATGATGCAAGAAACGAGCTTCGCTCTGTGTCTGGCTCATTATAATCAGAATGTATTAAGCAGGTACTGTGTTAAATAATATTTATCATCATTATCACCATCACCATCACCATTATTATCATCATCTCTGTGCCTGATAGGTCCATTTTAAATTATTCCAAGAGGGCAGTGGTGGTTCAATGCTCACCTTCTATCCAGGACACCCAGGTTCGATTCACCACCAGTGCACCTCATGCTCAGGTACCACTGAGCTTGTGTGTTGTTATGATGCTGAACAGGTTTTAGCAGAACTTCCAGACTAAGATGGACTAGGAAGAAAGGCCTGGTGACCTACTTCTGAAAATCAGCCAATAAAACCCCTATGGATCACAACAGTCCCATCTCATTGTACATGGGGTCACCATGAGTCAGGAGGCGACTTGACGGCAACTAACAACAACAAACTATTGCCATTCTTTACCTTTCTAACCACAGAACAAACATCTAAGTAGAGTTTCAAAATGGGTAACCGTCCAAGATCACTCGGTATGCAAATCAAAGGTCTTTGTTGGTGCCCCATCCCCTCATCCCATAAGACTTATTTTCTTTCCACCCATATAGGAGGCGTCTCCTTCTTTGTGAAATTTACCATCTAACCTGAATGGTTAGGAATTAAAGCATACGTAAAAGACATAAATGCCGAAGGTTTGAGGATGCTAAAACAGCCAGCCATCTTTTCTGGACAGGCATTTGGTCCCAAGTACTAGGCATCAGAAATATCCAGATCAGTAGTTTTCAACTAGTATTTTATGGAGCCCTTTGGAGGTGTGTTGGGAGTCCCTGGGTGGCACAAACAGTTAAGCCCTCAGCTGCTAACTAAAAGGTTGGAGGTTTGAGTACACCCAGAGCTGCCTCGGAAGTAAGGCCTGGAAATCTACTTTTGAGAAAAATCAGCCATTGAAAACTCTATGAAGCACAGTTCTACTGTGACTCACATGGGGTCGCCATGAGTTGGAATTGACTCAAAGGCAACTGGTTTAGTTTTGGAGGTGTCTCAGGAGTTGGAGCTGGCAGGGCTCTGAGCCTTGCCCTCTTTTAACCTGATCTGCTTTGCTTTTCTCTATTAATATGTTGGAATCTCTCTCCTAAAAATAATTGGAAGAACCTTGACCTCTTGTGGAGTCTCTACCTATACATTTATAGCTGTCTCCCACTCCTATAAAACCCATTGCCATCAAGTCAATTCCGACTCATAGCAACCCCATAGGACAGAGGAGAACTGCCTCCATACAGTTTCCAAGGCTATAAATCTTTATGGAAGCAGACCGTCACATCTTTCTCCCTTGGAGAAGCTGGTGAATTCAAACCACCGGCCTTTCATTTAGCAGCTGAGTCCTTCACCACTGCGCCACTAGGGCATCTTCCCATTCCTGTGTTGTTGTTGCTGTTAGGTGTTGTCAAGTCAGTTCCGACTCATAGTGACCCTAGAGGACACAGGAGAACTGCCCCATAGGGTTTCCAAGGAGTGGCTGGTGGATTTGAACTGCTGACCTTTTGGTTAGCAGCTGAGCCCTTAATCACTATACCAGCGGGGCTCCATCCATTCCAATAGATCTCCTTAAAATTTAAATGATTACGTGATTAAGAAAACTGACATTTTCTTAGGTACATGGTACTACATTTCAAAGCTTCTTGGAAATATCTGCTAAGTGGAAAAGTATCTAAGCTTAGTTCTGCTCTGTTATCAGAAATGAGACACACAGGTGCAGAACCTAGTATAAGCTTTCAAACACAAAGTTTAGAAGAAACAGCCCTTGGAACTTTCTGAGGTGCTGGAAATAACAGCCCTTGCTATATAAAGTTATCCTTTGATTGTAGTCTTTTATTTTCGTTTAAATACAAAGTCTCTCACTGGACTTTTAACCAGAATTGTTAGAAATTCTGCAAATATAAGCAATTGACAATGTCTAGGTCTTTCTCATTACTTATAGAGTCAGTTGAGGCAAAAATCTGATCTGGGTTATTAAATTAGGGAAAACATACATATATAGTCTCGCAGATCAAAGAGCACACTTCTACCTGTGACGACTGGGCTGCCCCAGTGTTGGGGCCAGTTGGTCACAAATCACAAAGCTGCAAGCCCTGTGCCTTGAAGATGTGAAAAAAAGATGTGGTCTGATTTCCAAATTGAGGACACCTAAACCAATTGCTGTTGAGTCAATTCCAACTCATGGCGACCCCATGTGTGTCAGAGTAGAACTGTGCTCCACAGGGTTTTTTCAATGGCTGGTTTTTCAGAAGTAGATCACCAGGCCTTTCTATTGAGATGCCTCTGGGTGGAGTCAAACTGCCAACCTTTCGGTTAGCAGCCAAGTGCATTAACCATTTGCACCACCCAGGGACCCCTAAAGACACCTAGGAATGCCTTTATCCTAGTGTAAACTGGAGATGAGGGCTCAGAGAGCTAGTCAGTGTACCTTTTGCAAATTTAGGTGTGGCCGTGGTTATATCACAGACGTCTTCTTGCTTATTTTTCCACAGACTGTTTCTTAATCAAAGTCTGTGCTTTCTGTGAATGGAAGAAACCGCTAGGAAACAACAGGGCAGAGCAGTGCCCGACAGTCTCTACTCACCAGACTAAATTTGTTCTTCAAGGGGCCGGCGTCCGTCAGCAGTTTAGTCCTGGGGTTCATTTTGAGAATGTCTCCAGTTGTGGTGCCCAGGTAGAAAAAGCTATCATCATCGGCCATCTGGATAAGAGAGTGATACACCGTGAGCGCCCGTGGTCAGTGGTGGGATGAGCTTTCCCTGAAAACCTTACGTGAGTGCTCACGGTTACTTCTGTTTCCTCAGACTCAGAGGTGGTGGGGTAGAGCAGCGCTGAGAGGAGCAGAACCCGGGCCAAATGCAGATCTGAAGGAAAATACTAGACCCGACTTGCCTGTGCATTTCACTTGAAGTCTGTCTGATGTTAACATGCACGCTCTCTTCCTTTCTCTTTTCCTCCCTCCTTCGCTCCCTTCCTTTTTTTCTGTTAGTAATGTCCAGTTGGTGTGTATCTACTTTTTATTTTAATCTTTCTGTGTCCATAAAGTATGGCCCCTTGCCGTCCGCCCAGGTCATCATCTCCCCATCCATGGCTACTGTGCCATCGGTACGAAGAAGAAGAGACATTTACCCCCGACGCCCCCCAACACACACACACATACACACACACACACATATAGACATCTTGGTCAGCACTGTTAACGACAGAGCTTGTACCAAGAGCTACTCAAAATAACACTGAAAGCAATGCTTACTGTAATACTCATCACTATTCTTTTCATCTGTCCTGTTTGGCACTCTGTTGGCCAGATTTTTCGATTTGGGAGATCCAATTCCCATACTCGAATTGTGCCACTACAAAAAAAGATTTCACAATCAAATGACTACATATTTGATAACTGTGTCATCTCTCTGTTCTGTGTTCTCTTGACAGAGAAGCTGAAGGGAAGAGAAATAAACGTGTCTGAGGCCTTGCTACACCTGAGCACTCGACTACTTAAGATCTTTCACTGAATGCTCGCGGTGATCCTGTGAGGTAGATTTTACACCTAGCTTATACACAGCCCAGCAGGGACTCTCTGAGGCTGAAGTGCATGTGCTATACGCTGTATTGAAAAAAGCAGACATACAAACAAGCAAGTAAACAAAAAAAAGAGCAAACCAGTGTTTCTTGCAAGGTTTTAAGTTTTGAGGAACATTTTTCAAAGAGGAGCACTTTAGTATGGGGAGTTCCTGGGTGGCTCAAACAGTTAAGTGCTCATCTGCTGAGACGTTGGTGGTTTCAGTCCCAGGTACCCAGAGGCAAGTCAGAAGAAAAGCCTGGTGATCTACATCTGCAAATCAGCCATTGAAAGCCCTGTGGAGCACAGTTCTGTTCTGACACACACGGAGTCCCCTTGAGCTGGAATCCATTTCATTGCAACTGGCTTTTACTTTAATATGGAGACTCCTGTCTTCAAGGAAGGCAAAATGAGACTAAACAACTCAAAAGTTAAACAAAGTCAGCACCTATACAGGGTCTGGCTGGTAGTTCATCATTGTATATTGAATTAATTTGAATTGATAGTTGTATAACAATTTCACAGTCAAAAGATTTCAGCTAATATACTAAGGCAGAAATGATTAATTAAAAACTATATTGATCAGGCTCAGTTTTCCTTTTTTTTTCTTTTGCGCCCCCCTCCCCTCACTGACCTACTCCAAGTTATGAACATCGTAAGTGCTCAAATTAAAAATAAATCCGTTTTTCCATGGCCTTCCTGATGTCATTTGGATGCTGAAATGTTAGGATTTGCACCACATCTCATGGGAACAATATAATGGAATACATGAAATTGGGAGTGTGGTGGAGAACCCAGGGTATATGGGTGCCATATCAGAAATCCTATTTACAGCGTCAACTTTTTCTCAGTTATTAGTGTCACATGAAATTGAGGCAGACCTAGAATATAAAACTAGTTGCCATTGAGTCAACTCTGATTTATGGTAAAATCATGTGTGTCAGAGTAGAACTGTGCCCCGCAGGGTTTGTTTGTTTTTCTTTTTAATTTTATTTTTATTGTTGTTGTTGAGAATTTATACAGCAAAACATACACCAATTCAACAGTTACTACATGTACAATTCAGTGGCATTGATTACATTCTTCAAGTTGTTCAACCATTCTCACCCCTCCTTTTCTGAGCTGCCTCTCCCTCATTAACATAAATTTACGTCCCCCTAAGATTCCTACCTAATCTTTTGAGTTGCTGTTGTCAGTTTGATCCCAGATAGATAGTTCTTAAAAGACCATAATGCTCAAGGCAGACAATTACTAGTTAAGCTAGACTATTGTATGGTTTTAAGAAGACTTCAGGGGATATTTCTGGTTTAAGGTTTAAAGATTATCTCAGGACAATAGTTTCAGGGGTTCATCCAGCTTTTATGGCTCCAGAAAGTCTGTAGTCCATGAAAATTTGAAATTCTGTTCTCCGCTTCCCCCCTTTTGATCAGGATTCCTCTATAGAATCCTTGATCAAAATGTTCAGTAATGGTAGCCGGCAACATCCAGTTCTTCTGGTCTCATGGCAAAGGTGGCAGTTGTTCATGGAGGCAATTAGCCATACATTTCATATCCTACTCCAATTCCTGCCTCTTCTTCCTCTGTTGCTCCAGGTGAATAGAGACCAGTTGTTGTACCTTAGATGGCCGATTGCAAGCTTTTAAAACCCCAGGCACTACGCAACAAGCTAGGAGGTAGAACAGAAGCAGTAAAAAAGTAATTAAGCCAGTTAACTGGGATGTCCCATGAAACTATGACCCTAAACCTCCTAATTAAGGAACTAAATCCCATGAGGTGATTGGTTGTACATAAGCAGCCTCAGCAGCTACTGTTTTTTGTTTTTTTTTTTAGTCATTGTTAGTAAATATACCTATCACACAACTTTTGCCAAGTCAACTTTTTATAGGTGTACAACTTTTGAAAGCAATTACAATAATCAGCTGTGCAACCCTACCTCCATAGGGTTTTCAGTGGCTGATTTTTCAGAAGTAGACCACCAAGCCTTTCTTCTGAAGTGCCTCTGGGTAGACTCGAACCTCTAACCTTTCAGTTATCAGCTGAGCAGATTAACTGTTTGCACCAATCAGGGACGTCACCTAGAATATAGATTGTACCAGATTGTGTGTGTAAACGTCAATATTTGACTCCTGGAGAAATGTTGTCCATAGACATCAGAAGGGGCCAGTGCCTGCTGCTTAAGTATCTGCTAAGGAGCAGAAACACCCCATAAAACAAAGGCTTAGTCAAACCACTCTGCAAACTTGAAGAGAGTTGAAGAGCTTCGTGGTCACTGGTGGGTGGCCTCAGAAGACAGGGAAGGACATGGTCAGCTGCTTTAGGATTAAAGCACTGTCCTGATAAGACTTGCTCGACAGGGCTGGATTTCATGTCGGCCAGTTAGTTTCACAGTCTCTTGCTTCCTCTTAACTTGCCATGGCACAAATGCATGCTGCATATCACAAGGTACAGACAAGAAACCGTGTAGATCTAGAGCAGCACAAATTCTTTACTCTCACAAGAAAAGGAACAACAATGTGTGCCTTTCACCGATGCGACACCTCAATGACATTTTCATAAGGGTCAAAGAGGATGGTTCTACCCAACCTATACTTCAATGCTACATTTCTGGCTGACATAAAAAAGGATGGGTTTTATACATGTTTATCCTTCACTTCAAACTCTACACAGGGCTCTGATGAGTGAATTTGGAAATTAATTTCTTCTGTTAGACAGATGCTGGCCTCTGTTCAGACCTCCAGCTGGGTCACTACTAGCTGGTTCCAGCTGATCCTATCAGAAATGATCTCATGTAGCTAACAGGCAACCAGATGAATCTTCCTGGCACAGTTCACTCGCAAACTATCATTTCATGAGTGGTTAAGTACTCGACTGTTAACCAAAAAGTTGGAGGTCGAACCCACCAGCCGCTCCACAGGAGAAAGATGTGGCAGTTAGCTTCTTTGAAAACCCTGTGGGGCAGTTCTACTCTGTCCTATAGGGTCACTATGAGTTGGAATCGACTCCACAGCAACTGGTAAATCAAGAGCAAGCGGTAAGAAAGGTCAACCAGTAGCTGAATCTATGCAATTGTGCAGATTAATGTGTTGTCAGTAAAAAACAAACAAATAAGAACCTGAAAGGCATTTCACAGATAGGCAGAATTTTTTCCATAGGAAGCACAGGATTTTCGATAACCACGTTTAAAATATTTTCAGCAAAAAGGATTTCTAATGACTACAAAATGGTGCAAGTTGTGGTAGCAGGTATCTGCCCAGGATGAAAGACCTGCTTCCCCAGATTGTAATGAACTAATGTCTTCTATACAAGCAAATATAGTGATTTATGAGTTCTGAAAAGGCAGAGCGCCAACACGTACTTTCCAGCGGTAACGAACATCTCATCCCGGCAGCGTGAGAAGATCACAGTGGTGGCATTGCCAACATTAAGGCCGGCTGCAGGGCTGCCACAGATGGCGTCTCTCTTGGCTATGCTCCACACCACCACACTGCCAAAACAAGAAGACAAAACAGGCTTTCAAAACAAGAAACAACTATTTTAGTGGTTCCAGAAAGGAAAAACACAAAGGAACAAAACAAATTACACTGACCATCCACCCACCCCCCAGACATCTCCGTAACACTGGATATTAGAAAACAAATGGAGTGACACTTAAAAAGTTTTGAAGGGAAATAATTATGAGGCTAGACTCCAGGGAGCCCATCAATCAAGTTTGGTGATAAAATAAAGACATTTTCAGACATGCAAAGCCTTAAAGTTTATCACCCACTGATTCCATGTAAAAGATTTCTTTGGGGAAGTATTACGGCAAAAGAGAAAGAAAAAAAACGGGAGGTGATTCGATAAAGAGGAAAACATAAGACAGTGTTGCCAAACTTGAATGTGTATCAGACCCACTTGGAGGGATTGTTAAAACAGACTACTGGGCCCACCTCCAGAGTTTCTGATTCAGTAAGTCTAGGTCGGGGCCCACGAATCTGTTTTCCTAGTAAGCCCCAGGTGATGCTGATGCTTATGGACCTAGGGATCACACACTGAGAAGCACTGATTAGGGTTACCTTTCCACCTTCCTGGATGCAATCATACAACTTAGTTCTAAAGTGAGTAAACCCACTGCTGTGGAGTAGATTCTGATTCATGGTGACCCCATGCACTTTACAGTAGAACTGTGCTCCACAGGGTTTTCTTGGCTATACTCTTATGGAAGCAGATCACCAGACCAGTCTTCCACAGCACCACTGGGTGGATTCGAACAGCTAACCTTTCAGTTAGTAGCTGACGGCAAACCGTTTGTGCCACCAGGGACCTCCTAAAGTGAATAGTGTTTGGATAATAATACCAAAAGTGCTGGGAAGGGGGTGTTGTGTTCAACAGTGGAAGCAAAGTATTAAAGAAAAAGAATGCAAATGTTACAAAACTAATTAATGTAAAAACATGTACATCCTATATTTCCCAAATTTTCTGCATGTGGAATGTATTATCAAAGGTTGTCTAAAATCAAGTTATAACCAAAAATAATCAGGAGTAGGGAGTTAAGAGGGGGTATAAGAACCACAAATACCTCTTTTTATCATGGGAAATTGATGGATAGCATCTAAACTGGAAAATTTGAGAGATTAATCACTTAAAAAGTTATAATGATAATTATATGATAAACTAAAAAACAAAGACTGTGAAAATCAAGTGCCTCATACCTAAGAGAAATGAAGACATATGTTCACACAAAATTTTGTATGTGAATGTTCATAGGAACATTATTCATGATAGCCAAAAAATGGAAACAACCCAATGTCCACCAACAGATGAATGGCTAAACAAAATGTGGTGTATCCATACAATGGAATTTTATTCAGCCATAAGAAGTGAAGTACTGATACATGCTACAACATGGATGAACCTTGAAAAATTAAGCAAAGTGAAAGAAACCAGACCGAAAAGACCACATATTATACAATTCCATTTATATGAAATGTTCAGAATAGGTAAATCCATACAGACAGAAAGTATGCTAGTGGTTGCCTGGGGCTGGGGTGGGGTTGAGAGGGAGTGAACGGGAATGGGGAATGACTACAAATGGGTAGTGCGTTTCTTTTTGGGGTGTTGAAAATGTTGTAAAATTGATCATGGTGATGGTTGCACAACTCTGTGAATATATTAAAAATCACTCAACTGTATACCTTAAATGGGTCAATTTTATGGTATGTGAACTATTTCTCAATAAAGCTGTTAAAAAAAAAACAAAACTCAAGAGCCTATGGAGAGTGGATGTCTTCATGATTAGGAGGAGGATATGAGGGGTGACATTAGTACACTTATACTTTTGAATTTTGGATTCTTCTGCATAGTAGGACAATACAGCTTCTTTATAAAGACATCCACAAAGAGAGTTGGTAAAATAAATTCCAGCATATCCAATCCATATGATGGAATACTATGCAGTCATTGCAGAGAATGAGGTATAGGTCTACAGGTATACACATGGAAGCTGTCCATGGTGCACAGTTAATTAAAAAGCAGGTTGTATTACAACATGGATTGCATGATAACATAAAGGCAAAAAAAGTTACATAAATAGGTTATAAAATATTAAAAAATATATGCACGTGCAAACTGTTCCCAGTGTCCCTTCTGTTCCCCTCCTCTGTGCAGCGGCCAGATGGTTGGGGGAGAACGGACCCCTCCCACAGATTCGGGGTTGACCCTTGATTGTCCAAAACCATTCAGCATAAGCCCATCCTCCTCACCACAGTGAGTATTCAGGGATGGGTATATTGCATTTCTTTAAGCTTCTCAACATTCCTCAAATTTTCTGCAAGCAAATTTTAGATAGCCTAAAATCAAGCTTAAAATTACAGAGGAGATGAACAGTTTTGCAGGTTGACCTTGGTTAAGCAGCCGTTTCTCTCCTCCAAGGCTTAGCTTTGGCATTTCTCTCGCAAGGTACAGGGGTAGGGATGGGCCAATGGCTAAACTCCAAGAATCTCCGGGGGTAGGACCCAGGCATCAGTAGTTTTCAAAGCTCCCCAGGTGATTACAGTGTGCAAGCCGGGATGCAAACAACTGCTTTAAGTTGAGCTAAGTATGTTAATAGAATGTTACTAGACAATTTCTGGATACATTTTTCATCCAAAATAGTCAAATGGGGATGGCTCGGGGGAGGTGTGACTACTTAGATGCGGAGGGTATCACTCTACTAAAGGAGGAAATCTTATAAAAATTTTGTTGTCTTACTATATATTAAGAGAACTGTCAATATATAGAAATATAAATGTAGATATATAATGTATGTATAAATGTAAATTTCCTTAATAAACCTGTGAAGCTCAAAGAAGAAAATACATGTAAAAGTGCATCAAAGTATTAAAACCTACACAAACCTCAGTGTGATTATTTTTCTTTAGACTGTGTTCCTTTAGCATTGACTCAGGGATACGCACTGCATTGATTGCTCTCCCTAATATAATGCTTTTAAATACACTGTGATTTTTTTCTATTTCATGTATACATGTTCTCTTCCTTCCAAATTTGACTTTGAGTTGCTTGAGGGCAAAAGTCACGTCTTGGTGAGGAAAATGTAAAAGGTCACCTCTGGACACCTGTTACCACCAGGGTTCATATCTCAGCTCTGCTATTTACTAGCTGGTGACTTTGGTTCCTCATCTGTCATTGTTGTTGTGAGGTGCTGTCAACTTGGTTCTGACTCAGAGCAGCCTTATGTACAACAGAACGAAATACTGCCCAGTCCTGCACCATCCTCACAATTGTTGCTATGTTTGAGCCCATTTTTGTAGCCACTGTGTCAGTCCATCTCACTGAGGGCCTTCCTCCTTTTTGCTGACCCTTTACTTTACCAAGCATGATGTCCCTCTCCAGGGACTGCTCCCTTCCGATAACATGTCCAAAGTACATGAGACAAAGTCTCACCATCCTCGCTTCTAAAGAGCATTCTGGCTGTACTTCTTCCAAGATGGATTTGTTCACTCTTCCGGCGGTCCATTCAATATTCTTCGCCAACAGCATAATTCAAACGCATCAATTTTTCTTCAGTCTTCCTTATTCATTGTCCAGCTTATATATGCATATGAGGCAATTGAAAAATATTGTGGCTTGGGTCAGGTGTACCTTAGTTCTCAAAGTGACATCTTTGCTTTTTTTTTTTTTTTAAACACTTTAAAGAGGTCTTTTGCAGCAGACTTGCCCAATGCAATACATCATTTGATTTCTTGACTGCTGCATCCATGGGCATTGATAGTGGATCTAAGTAAAATGAAATCCTTGACAACTTCAACATTCTCTCCCTTTATCATGATGTTGCCAAGAAGCAGTCATTCGAACAGAACAAGGGGATAGATACTGCGTAGTTGAAAATCAGGAAAGGCATGCGTCAATGTTGTATCCTTTCACCATACTTATTCAGTCTGTATGCTGAGCAAAAGATCCAAGCAGCTGGACTATATGAAGAAGAACGAGGCATCAGGATTGCAGAAAGACTCATTAACAACCTGTGATATGCAAATGACACAACTTTGCTTGCTGAAGGTGAAGAGGACTTGAATGAAGCACTTACTGATAAAAATCAAAGACTACGGCCTTCAGTATGGATTATATACCTTAGCATAAAGAAAAAAATCATCTGCCATATGGCATCAATAACTCCCAACTAGTAGAGTTGTTGTGAAGCTTAAATGAGATAATGCCGTTAAAGTGCTCAGTACACACCTGTCACATAGTAAGTGCTCAATTAAAAAAAATTAGCTGTTCTCTATGAAGACAACAGAGGACGATGATGATGATGTCTTTCTTTGACAGCAATGGTTCTCGAATTTGGCTGCCTGGGAATCTTTTAGTACTCCTAAAGCCCAGACCATATCCCACATCAATTAAATCCGACTCTCTGAAGGTGGGAACTAGGCATTAGTAATTTCCTAAAGCTCCTTGTTGATTTTGATGGATGGCTAGGTTTGAGAAGCACTGCTGTGCGGCATTTTTCTCACAGGTTTTTCACACAACACACACTCAAAAATAGACTGGCCAACAGAGAATGCTAGACGGGAAAGCGTACCTGACGCTTAGCTGTGGAAATATACCTGGTGAAAACGCATAGATTTGTTTAGCTCATTACCTTCCGTCATCTGGTCCTCCTAGCGACACCAAGTACAAATCATTTGGCGAAAAGGCCAGAGCTTCAATTTTGCCCTTGTGAAGAGACAGCCGAGCAACCAGCTCCCTTTTCTTATAATCCCACAAAATGATATCTGCCTGGGGGAAGAATACACTGTCAGAAACATAGACAGGTTTTTAAAAGATCCGAGAAGACTAGGTACCCCTTTTGGTGAAAAGGAGTCAGTAATAGTTACTCCTCGAGATATTGGATCGTGTTTGACACGCATGACAGCAACAGAAGGGAAACATTTTTAACAGTGACTTTTGCTTGAGCATTATCCGCTACAAGCCACAACATCTGGTGTAACATCAGATTCCTTCACTCCCAGCCTGATAAAGTGAAATGAGTAGAAAGAAGAGCCAAGGGCATGAAGAAGGAAGAAGAAAAGCACATGGCCATGAGTTAACGGCCTGAAGTCAGGCAGTTTTTCGGTGGAGGCACCTCTAAATGAATTCACAATGAGTTATTTTCAGTTTATTCACCTTAAAGCCCATGAAGGTGACTTGTCCGGAGGCAAGGTAAATTCCACTCTTGGAGATGGCCACACAGGAGACATTGTTACCATGGCCATGTAGGAAATTCTGCTCATTCGTATTTATCGACTGAATGAGGACCGTGCAACCCAGAGGGTAAATCAGATGCTCCTGGTCAGGATGGCATTTCAGACCACCGGGTACATGTCCTGAAAGACAGAGAAGATTAAAAAAAAAAAATCAGGTACAGAAGTGGCTGGTAACTGCTTTCTTGAACACCAAAAAGAAAGGTTTGGGGAGGGGTGTGGCACACTGGTTAAGCACTACAGCTGCTAACCAAAAGGCTGGCAGTTTGAATCCACCAGCTGCTCCTTGGAAACCCTGTGGGGCAATTCTACTCCATCCTGTAGGGTTGTTATGAGTCAGCATTGACTCAACAGCAGTGGGTTTCGTTTTTTTTTGGTTTGGGGAGGGAAAATCACTACCTAGATAGTAGACAAGTGGTAACTTTGGTGAAGGGTAAGACAGTACACGTTATAGGGGAAGTCAGCACAACATGACCAAGGCAAAGTCTTGGAAACTTCGTAGACACATCCAAACACCCTGAGGGACTAAGTTACTGGGCTGAGGGCTGGGGACCATGGTCTCGGGGGACATCTAGGTCAATTGCCATAACATAGTTTAAAAAGAAAATGTTCTACATCTGACTTTGGTGAGTAGCATCTGGGGTCTTAAAAGCTTGCAAATGGCCATCTAAGATCTACTGGTCCCATCCCATCTGGAGCAAAGGAGAATGAAGAAAACCAAAGACACATGGAAAAAGGACTAATAGACCACAAGTACCACAGACTCCACCAGTCTGAGCCCAAAACAACTAGATGGTGCCCAGCTACCCCACCGACTGTTCTGACAGGGATCACAATGGAAGGTACTAGACAGAGCGGGAGAAAAACGTAAAACAAAATTCAAATTCACAAAAAATGACCAGACTTACTGGTCTGACAGAGACTGGAGGAACTCCAAGACTACGGCCCCAGACACCCTTTTAACTCAGACCTGAAGTCACTCCTGAAGTTCACCCTTCAGCTAAAGATTATACAGGTCTATACAATAAACAATAACACATGAGGAACGTGCTTCTTAGCTCAATCATCTAAATGAGATCAAATGGGCATTATCTTTCCAAAGGCAAAGACGAGAAGGCAGGAAGGGACAGGAAAATGGGAAGAATGGAAACAGGAAACCCAGGGTGGAGAAGGGGAGAGTGTTGGCACATTGTGGGGATTGCAACCAATGTCACAAAACAATTTGTGTATAAACTGTTGAATGAGGAACTAATTTGCTCTGTAAACTTTCACCTAAAGCACAAAAAAAGAAAAGAAAGGTTTTGCAATAAGCCTTAGCATAACTAAAAGAAGCTGAGGGGTAACAGTTAATAATATTCCATTGACAAGGTTTGTACAGTATGTCATTGTTAGGTGCCTGTTAATTCATGCACAATGGGATGAAATGCTGCCCGGTCCTGTGCCATCCTCATGATTGGTTAGGGATTGGACTGTTGTGATCCCTAGGGTTTTCACTGGCTAATTTTCAGAAGTACATCACCAGGCCTTTCTTCCTAGTCCTCTTAGTTTGGAAGTTCCACTGAAACTTGTTTAGCATCATAGCAACTCTAAAGCCTCCGCTGACAGATGGGTGATGGCTGAGCATAAGGTGCATTGGCCAGGAATCAAACCAGGGTCTCTACATGGAAGGTGAATATTCTACCACTGAACCAAGAATGCCCCTATATATACTGGTCTAATACAGCGCTTCTCAAACTTTAGTGTCATAAAATCCCTAGTTGTTGTTGTTAGGTGCCATTGAGTAGGTTGACTCGCGGCGATCCCACTTACAACAGAAGAAACACTTCCTGGTCCTGAGCTATGCTCACAATAATTTCGATATTTGAGCCCATTGTTGCAACCACTGTGTCAATCCATCTCACTGAGTGTCTTCTTCCTTTTCACCGACCCTCTGCTTTACCGATCATGATGTCCTTCTCCAGGGACTGGTCCCACTTCACTTTCTATGGCCACAGTAACAATGCCTCCTGCGTGGCCATCTCTAAGAGTGGAGTTTACCTTGCCTCTGGACAAGGTCACCTTTGGATAACATTGTGTTTTGGATGACATCGTAGTTATCTAATGCTGCTATAACAGAAATACCACAAGTGATGGCTTTAACAAAGAGAATTTTATTCTCTCACAGTCTAGGAGGCTAGAAGTCCAAATTCAGGGTGGCAGCTCCAGGGAAAGGCTTTCTCTCTTTGTCAGCTCTGGAGGAATGTCCTTGTCATCAATCTTCCCAGGTCTAGGAGCTTCTTTGTGCAGGAATCCTGGGTTCAAAGAACATGCTATTCTCCTGGCTCTTGTTTCTTGGTGGTATGAGGTCTCCATGTCTCTCTGCTCGCTTCTCTCTTTTATACTGCAAGAGAGATTGACTCAAGAAACAATTTAATCTTGTAGATTGAGTCCTGCCTCATTAACAGAACTGCCTCTGATCCTGCCTCATTAACATCACAGAGGCAGGATTTACAACACATAGGATAATCACATCAGATGACAGAATGATGGACAGTCACACAATACTGGGAATCATGGCCTAGCCAGGTTGACACACATTTCCGGGGGACACAATTCAATCCATGACTGATAACATGTGCAAAGTACTTGAGACAAAGTTTTGCCATCCTCACTTCTAAGTAGCAATCTGGCTATACTTCTTCCAAGACAGATTTGTTTGTTCTTCTGGCAGTCCATGGTATATTCAATATCTTTGTCAACACCATAATTCGAAGACATCAATTCTTCTTCAGTCTTCCTTATTCATTGTCCAACTTTCACATGCATATGAAGTGATTGAAAATGTCATGGCTCTGGTCAGGTGCACCTTAGTACTCAGAGTGACATCTTTGCTTTTTAACACTTTAAAGAGATCTTTTGCATCAGATTTGTCCAATGAACTATATCCTTTGATTTCTTGCCTGCTGCTTCCATGGGCATTAATTGTGGTTCTAAGTAAAATGAAATCCTTGACAACTTCAATCTTTTCTCCATTTATCACGATGTTGCTTATTGGTCTAGTTGTGAAGATTTGTGTTTTCTTTATGTTGAGTTGTAATCCATCCTGAAAGTTATAGTCTTTGATCTTCGTCAGTAAGTGCTTCAAGTCCTTTTCACTTTCAGCAAGTGAGGTTGTGTCATCTGCATATCTGCATATAATTATGGATAACATTGCCAAGAACAGGAATTCCAGTACACTTCATTATGCTCATGTGGAACCCGTACATAGACCAAGAGGCAGTCGTTGGAACAGAACAAAGGGATGGTAGGTAGTTTAAAATCAGGAAAGGTGTGTGTCAGGGTTGTATCCTTTTACCATACTTATTCAATCCATATGCTGAGCAAATAATCCGAAGCCAGACTGTATGAAGAAGAACATGGCATCATGATTGGAGGAAGACTCATTAACAACTAATTAACAAAATCCCTAGAGGATCCCTGTAAAGGCAGAATCTGATTTCAGGTCAGGAGTGGGACCTAAGATTCTGCATTTCTAACAAGCTCCCAGGTAATGTGATGCTGATTCATGGATCAGACTTCGGGCAGCAAGGCCCTGGGGCCAATTCTTGGCATTCTAAGAAGCACCAATGCCTTTGACATTCCCAGCAGCCTGTCTGGGTGAGGTTACAGGCTTAGGTAGAACGTGAATCCACTACCTTAGGCAAAAGTTTGGTAAAGATAAAAATTTGGTTTCTAAGTAAGACCAGGCACTCTGAAGAAGCCCAGGACCTCCCACCCTGAGACCCCATTCTTCTGACATTGCCCCATCCTTTAGATGCTAGCCAAAAACCACCTTAACACTTAAACAAACCTTTGTAATAAGTTTTAACATGAAGTAGACATAGGTCCTCCATTTGTATTCATCTTTGGTCAGAATTTTTATGTTACTCTTGCATATTTATTTTACAACATAAACTTTAACATCAGATTGCCTAGTTAAAAAGTTATGTTTGTATTTTTATTGGGAAGATATTAAATGCATAGATTAATTTAAAGAGAAATGATTTTTATAAGGATACATTATGGCACTTTCCCAAAAACGGAGTATGTTTTTCCATTAAGTCTCATTTTACGTCCCCTAGCAGCATTTTCAATTTTTCTTCATAAAGATCTGACACATTTCTTATGAAGTTTATTGCTGGGTCCAGTACAATGGATCACTTTTATAAGACCTTTCTAGCCATGGTCTTTTAACTCCCACTAAATGACTGGGTGGGACTATGCAAACACAGTGTTTGTTGCCCACCAAGGTGATTGTACCCATACTCCATTGCCATCTAGTTGATTCCAACTCAATGCAGATAAGGTGCATGGCACCCTTGTGGGGGTGGTACCATGCAAATAAGGTGTATGGAACCCTAACGAGGGGATTGGTCAGTTTTGCCATCCTGGTGGGCTTAAAATGAGCCATCCCAGAGGTGGACAGGGAGGGCTCTCACTACCACAAAGAAAGAAAAGCTAGGAGTAAAGTTTGTCCTTTGGCTCCGGGATCCCTGCACTGAGAACCTCCTAGACCCAGGAGCTAGAGAGAGAGAGAGAGAGAGAGAGAGTTGTAACACCGGAGATGGAGAGAGATGGTAAGAAGCAGTGGCAGAGAAATGGCAGCAACAGAACCAGCAGAAACAGAAGACCACCACCAGATGTCATGGTGGGCTGCCTAGTCCACAGAGCAAGGCATTTACAGTAGATGTGCTGATTCGTGGAGTGAGAGAGCTGAGTGTCTTTGGGCAGGAGGCTTCCTGGTGGAGTGGGATGCCCTGGGCACGTGTCGGGGGAACTAGGCTTGCCGACCCTTGGATTGAGAGAGCTGAGTGCCTTTGGGCCAAGGCTTCTTTGGGGAGTGGAGTACCCCCAGACACTTATTGGCACAACTACAGAGCTTTGTAACACTTGTTCAAGCATGGCAGAGGTCTGACCAAGGGGTTGAGGTGCCAAGGGCCAAAGAGAGGCCAGCCTGCATGCATGGCTGAGAAGAGGCTGTCCTGATCAAAGAACTGTATCCTGAGTTCTTCCTGATTCTGAATTGTAGCCTGTTCCTTCTCTAATAAACCCCATAACTGTGAGTACGGTCTGTGAGTTCTGTGTGGCCATTCGAGTGAATTATC